CGTTCGTTGCGGCAATGGATCCGTCTGGTGGTTCATCCACAGAGTTTCCCAATGGCATCGGTGCATGTGGCAGCTCGTCGTATTCTTTGTTGGTATCGTAGACCCCGGAGTTGCTCAAGTGCTGGACGTTGGAAGCGGTGGATCCACTAGATCCCACCGCTGTTGTCGACGTGTTTAGAGAATTCTGAAATCGCTGAGTGCTCTGGCTACGCTGAATGTTCAAGTTCGTGTTGTGCTGCAGCTGGAGGGACTCGCGAAGGCAACTGAAAATGGTATTTGGATTATTTTTAGATCAAATGGGGACTCCAAGGCCGCCCTAGGCTTACCAAGTCGATGAGGATCCTCCCAATTCGTTTCGTTGTTGTTCCAAGGTGCGGTTTTTGATGGAGATGTTGAGCAGCAGGTTCTCCGAAACGCTCTCCATAACCGAGCGGGTCCTGCAAAGAGATAAACCCCAATGGGTATCGAAGAGTATTCCTCCCCAGTTACACCACTTACATGGCATTGGAGGGAGCACCGGAGGTGGAGGGACCATCCCGTCCGAACTCGCTGGCCTGTTCCGTGTCCTTCTCCTTCTCGTGCATCTCCAGATGGGCCTTTTCGCATTGCTGCGGCATTCCATTGTCGAGCTCCAGAGCTTCAGGAGCCTCCAAAATGGGTGTGCCATTGGCATTGCCTGTCCGGGCGGCATCGCTGCCCGTGATCAGGGTGATTTTCTCGCACTTGCCGTACACATCGAACACAGGATAAACGTGATTGGGAAGGCCGCTGCCCAGATCCTCGAGATTCGTGGAGCCAACCATAATGACTAGGAGGAATATAAAGTATAAATGAGAGAGAGAAATCCTAAAAAGGCATAGAACTTACTCAGCATGCCAGCGTGAGTGAGGGTCACGGTTATAACAGTGCCCACCTGGATCTGGTCCAGCACCTCGCCGTACTTGGAAGCCATTACCTGCCCGTTGATGTTCACATAGTCGTGGGTGGCCAGCCAGCAGCTTCGCTTGCAATCCAGCAACGAAATGGGTGCCGTTTGTGGACACGCGGACAAGACGCCCAGCCCGAGAGTGCCCTTCCACTTGGTGTTGAGGGCGTCCACCTTGATGCTGATGCTGTCGCCCTTACAGAGCGGCTTGTTCAGGCAGACGATGGACTGGTTGTAGGACTTGACCCTGGCCACACTCCTGCGATCCTCGCTGAGCCTCGCGTTCTTCTGCGATATGTCCACAAACTCGTAGTTTTGAGCCTCTGAGTCGATGGACTCCAGCATGGAGCTGTCCTGCTTGTTAAGTGGATCCATCCCAAAGTCCATCGAGTCCTGCAACCGCAAGCTGCAGGGCCGCAGCGGCGAGGCTGGGCCTTGAGCGGAGATCACCTGGATGCCCATCGTAGAACCACTCAGCTCGGCCACCACGTACACATCGTTGGGTACATTGTGGAACTGGATGTTCACGTTCTCCGAGTTCAGCAGAATGTTGAGCGAGTTCTCCACCCGCTCCAAGGTTATGCGATCGTCCACGCGCAGCCACTCGAGCGAGGCCAACGATCTCTGCAGGCAGCTGGTGTTGAAGCGCACCTCGCTCCCACTCACGTACCAAACATTGGCTGGAATCCGTCGTATGCTGGTCGGGAGCTTCTTGCGAACACTCTCGTCGCTCAGGTTGAGATCCGTGACCCCAATGCTGAGGCAACCTGCAAACATGGGATTTATTGAAGTCAACTTGATTTCGAATGGCGATCCGGCGCTGAGCGGATGCTCGGAAAAGACGAGGCAGTGGGAGAGTGGAGCTGCCGCTCCTGTGAATCGTGAGGCTTCTGTCCAGTCCTTGGTAAGGCTAACATTTCCCGAAACGCACGTCCAGCGGTGCTTCGTTTCCATGGCCGGATGCTGGATGACCGAGGTGGCCTGGCAGCTCTGCGAGTTCTCGCTGGTGGCATAGGGCGCCCGAATGTCCACCTGCGTCTGGGTGAGGCTGACCTGGGCGCACTGCCCGTACAGATCGATGATGGCCCAAATGTTTGGGGCATGGCACTCGCAGGCCGGGCCCTGATCCATGCCGTCCACAAAGAAGTGGATAAAGTCGCCGTTCCGCATCACACCCACCCGTGTGCTGGGGCCCAGGGTGTCCAGGTCCAGAAGGATGTTGGTGCGTATGGTCTTGCGATTGTGAAAGATCATGGGACCGCAGAGAATGATGGTGTCATTTGCCTCCAGGTCGGTGGCGTTCGGCGCCAACTGAATGTCTTCTGGCCGGGTTCCCGTAACTCCGATTTCGATGTTGCCCGACCAGTGACGAACCATCGTCTCAAGCTCGACTTCGAAAAGCTCCCGCTGCCGCAGCGGCCGATTGCTGAACACTATGGCGTCGTTGAACTCCGCCAGGGAGTTGGGTCGCGAAGCGGTTAGTCCGCTGTTCGAGATGCCAGCATTGGCGCCGTGAATGCTGTGGAATCGCAGCGGCACCTCGCTGTACAATGTCGTGTTTGAAATGGTCGAGTTACCGGTGTCCGGGCTCCCGCATTCCGAGGTGTCAACGATGCTCGCCTGGGCCGCCTGGCCGTACAAATCGATGACCCCGAACACTCGTTCCGGTACGTTGCTGGCCGCCGGACCCTGATCCACTCCGTTGACCCAAAAGTGCAGCGTGCCATCGTCCTTGCGCACCACACCCACCCGATCTCCCACCTGTAGCCTGTCCAGATTTTGGCCATATTGCTCAATAACTGTTACCCCGTTTTGCATCACTCCGTTGCCAGTCATCATCCAGGTTCCGGATCTATATCAGTACAGTAGAGTATATCTAGCAGGGAAGTTACTATTCCATACTTACCGGACATTGGTCATCGTGAAGGGGAAGTCCAGGTCGTCGGCGCTGTGCGTAGTCACGCCCATTTCAACGGAGCCCGCCCACTTGGTAACCACTCGCTCCAGACGCACCTGGAACAGCTCGTTGGGTCGAAGGGGCCGGCGGGTAAGCACCACGCCGTTGTTGAAATCATCAGCAGCGCTGTGAAATATATAGACTTGGTTAGGATCCAAAATTGGAGGTTTCTAGTGGTCTTACTTTGGGCGCAGGGCCGTGCGACCGCTCTGGGTGACGGTGGCGTGAGTTCCGCATATGTGATGAAAGGTCAAGCGATCATCGTTCCTAGCTATGGCTCGCGTACTGGATATAGTCTCGCTCAGGCCGCCAGTTGCTCCGGCGACATTCATCTCACTTTCGGGACTGAGGAGACTCAAAGTCGGAGTGCCCGAGTGGGGCGGATGTGGCTGAGAATGTTGGGCAGCTCCGCCACAGGCAGTCATGCCCGCCACAATGTTATTGCGCCGCGTAACAAGATTCTGCTGCTCCCGCTCGTCTCGATCGACGATGGTCACCTTAATGGTCATGCCGTACAGATCGATAACGCCCCACAACGTTGAGGCCACCCGGGTAGCTGCCACTCCCTGATCCTGACCGTTGATGTAGTAGTGGAGATTGCCATTGGCCTTGCGCATCATCCCCACGCGGTCTCCCTCTCGCAACTCATCCAGGTTGAACTCCCCGTACTGTCGGCGGGTACCCTTTCCGTTGGTCAGGATCCCGCAGCCGGACATCATGGTGGTGCCCGAGCGCATGTTGGTCATCGTGGCTGGAAAGTGCAGCACCGTCGGATTGTGGGTAGTTACGCCCACTTCGATGGAGCCCGACCACTTGTCCACCAGCTTGTCGATGCGGATCTCGAAGAGCTCGTTGTCGCGCAACGGCCGATGGGTCATCACCACTCCGTTGTTGAACTCGTCCAGAGGACGGCGGCGTTCGGCGGATCGAAAGTTTGGTGAGAGTTTCACTAGCGAGCCGCATCGGGTGTGGAATCGCAGCCGATCGTTGATGTCGTAGTAATCCGAGCCGGAAGCAGGCCCGGAAACTGTGGAGGTGGCCTGGGTATTAGATATATGACCACCGGAGCCGTGTAGCCATCCGTCGGCAAGTAGGGGATTGATGGCGACGTCCAGGTTCTGGACTTCCTGTTGCAGGGGCTGTTGAATCGGGGAATCCAATAGCTATGTGGAGAGACACAATTGGATTAGAAACCGCACTGGAATCCACACAAGACCTACCTCTCCAGAGCCATTCGAGTCACGGGGAAATATAGAAACTTGCACGCAACGCCCATAAAGATCAACCAGAGCCCATAGAGGCTTGGGCATGTTCTTGGCCGCCACACCCTGCGACTCGCCGTTTACATAGAAGATGAGGTCGTTCCCAGACGTGCGCATCACCCCCACACGGTCGTTTTCGTTCAGGGTCTCCAGATCTGTGCCGTAGAACTCGAATAGTCGGCGCCCGTCCTTCCGCACATCGATTCCGGACATGACCCAGGTGCCATTTCGCATGGCCGTGGCACAGGCCACCAGTTCCAGATCGTCCGGCGATTCAGCGGTCACTCCGATCTCGATGCTGCCGCCCCAGGAGGTGTTCTGTGGGCGATAGAAAGGCATAAGGATGATTTAGGCCACGCAAAAGACAGTCCCACCGTACCTTCTTCTCAATGACCACCTCGAAGAGTTCGTCGTCCTCCAGAGGAAGGGCGCTGAAGACAAGGGCATGACTGAAATCTCTCATGGAGCGCTGTGCCGACCGATTGGAGTTGTACAGCCGTATGGAGCGGCCGCAGCGCGAGTGGAACGCCTGCATCTGCGTCTCCCTGCCGGCCATTATCCTTCCAGTTCACTCCGCTCCTTTGGCAACCGTACAAATCAATTGTCGGATATGGATATGGACACACATACGGGGCACAGAGAAACCTTAGCGGGCGGCTCATAGGCTGTGGGCCCTGTACAGGTTTAGAAACTGCGGTGGCATACAATTTCCTTGCATTATGCATGCATATATATCAGAATATATTTACGGTAAAAAAAAAAACCAAATATTTACAAGCAGTATGTTTTTGCGAGACAGTTTTGTTATCGAGTTATCGGTTGGATAAGTTATCGGTTTGGCTCCTAAATACGGTCATACTAGGCAGGTGAGCCTCTACAAAATAACAACATAAATATTTTTATTGATAATTTTATATTGAAAAGAAATACATTTGCTGCAACGCCATGTCCGCGACCCAGCGACAAAAGCAATTCGATCTAAACCGACCCCGTGCGAATGCACCTGCCACGACCAACCCTGCGGCTACCAACGCCACCATCAGCACCAACAAAAACAACAACAGCGAGTCTGGGAATCCGAAAAATGTGGTTTCCCCGCGTCAACGTAAACTTCAAACGTCAATGGAACGGCTGCAGGTGCAACAACCAAATGTGAGCAGGCGAGCTGCCGGTTCCAACTGGATGGCTTCGACGGCTGGAGGAGGACCTGCAGCGGGATCTGCTCTTGGTAGTGAGAACACAATGAAGGAGCAGGAAGGATCCACACCACTATCCAAATCCGCGCGCACGCGCAATAAAAAGAAGGCTCAGCGCAACAGGTACTTGGCCATGGACTGTGAAATGGTCGGTGTGGGACACAACGGCCAGGACGACATGCTGGCCCGCGTGTCAATCGTGAATCGGGTGGGCGAGGTGCTGCTGGACAAGCACGTAAAGCCCCGCCAGGAGGTGACCGACTACCGCACCAGCGTTTCTGGCATCCGGCCACAGGACATTGCTAACGGCGAGGACTTTGCCGTCGTACAGAACGAGGTGGTGAAGCTGCTCCATGGAAAGATTCTCGTCGGACATGCCCTTCGCAACGACATTGCCGTCCTGAACATTCGGCACCCGTTTGAACATATCCGCGACACCTCACGCTACAAGCCCCTCTGCAAGCTTGTCTCCAACGGGCACACGCCCAGCCTCAAACGCCTCACCATGGCCGTTCTCGGCCAGGAGATCCAAACCGGAGAGCACAATTCTGTGGAGGATGCGCGTGCGGCCATGGGTATATACAATCGAATAGCCGCCGACTGGGAGAAGTATCTGGAGAAGAAGCACCATCAACAGCAGCACTTCTGATCCGAGGATCCCTCCTCACACAACTCAGGGGAGCATCGTAGACTTAAGGATATACACACTAGTTTCGTATTTTTTTGGAAACTGTTGTTTAATTATATGAAACGTTACAACCTCAGCGGTACTGTTGTAAGGTTTAATTTCCTAACTGCAAGGTGTATTTATTGGAACTTAAATGTACAATGAACCTAATGGGCCTCTACTTCATCTGTAGAGGATTGGCTGGGTCCGTGAATGGCCTGGTGTCGCTCCATCAGCTCTTGCCAAGGATCCTCTAGCATCGAGGGGTGAAAGTACTGAGGGAAGGAACTACCGCTTTGGTTTCCACCCATGCCTCTGTGGTTTCTATGATTCTGCTCCCTATTTTGGAAGTTTCTCCGGTTGAAGTTTCCGCCGCGTCCGAATCCACGACCCTGTCCGTATGGCCTATGCCTCTGGGGTGCCTCCTGGGGGGATTTGTTTTGATAAAAGTGTGGGACATTATTCTGGGGTCTCGTGGAGCCTTGTGTGTCCTCGTAGAAGCCAAAATTCTGTTGTTGGGGCGGCTGCTGGCCACCAAACTGCTGTGATCTGTAGTCCACGGACTGGGAGGGATATTGCCCCACCCGGGGTGAGTACGGTGGTAAATTGTTGAACTTTTTGCCGGGCGTTCCCATCTTGCAATCTTTATGTCTTAGAAGAGCTTTCGTTTCACTAAATAACAAGATTCAGTGAAAAAAAGGTAAATAAATGAGAAGAGTGTGTTTGTTTATGTTTTCTTCAGCTGATAGTGATGACACCTAGCCCTTATCTTATCGATAACTAGTCTATCGAACTAGTACCTGGGAAATATTATAAAAATCTTGCCAATAATTGCATAAATACAAATTTTTATTGGAAAGTAGACTAACAAAAACTAAAGAAGTATAAAGATTAATTTTAATAAATTTAAAAACGAAACGGTAAAGCCGTTTTAGTAAGACCGTGCATGTTTTAAACTGCAAGTCTTTTAAGAGATGTTTACATCGAGGTAATTTCACCTACATGTCACACTGGTCACACAGAGTTTGAATTTTTCGAGAGGAGGACGTTGCGCGGTCGGTCGGCAAAAGTGCATTTACCTGCATTTAATATTTAACCCTCGGACTCGGACTCCTCCCAAGCCGGATAATAGAATTAAGTTAAATACGAGAGGTGGCTCACCCGATTAGTAGAGCTTTATATAGTCGGGAAACTATCTGGAATCGAACAAAAGCCAAAAGAGGCGTCGCCTGCCGCAGGAGCCTTTCATCCAAATCTGGCTTTGTCTGTGTTTTTGTGGCTGCATCGGTGTGCGTGTGTGAGAGAGTGTATTTGTTCAGCAGCGCTGTCGTCGCTGCAGCAGCAGCACCAGCTCGAAATAAAAAAAAAAATTGTGTTTTTTGCTTAGATTGTCAGAAAATAAGTAAATTTTAAATTTCAAAATTTGAAGACTGCAGTTTTAACTCCAGATCCAGATTTAAAAACAAAAAAATAGCCCTCCAGCACAAAAAGCGAATTTCGATTGGAAATTAGGAACTCCAGGAACGCAGGAAAGGAGCCACCAACGACACCACCAGCCAGAAAACCGCCACAGCCGCTTTGGATATCTTCAACGGAATCAAAGAGCAACTTTCAAGTTGCCCCGAACGCACCCGCGTCCTCTGCCGAACTGTATGGGGGACCCTGTCGCTGTCCCTTAGCACAGCGCTACAAGCGGCGAGCATCGAGGACGCTCGAGGCGATCCCGATCCAGGCGGAGGCGGAGGTGGTCCAGGTGGTGTTGGCGCCGGCGTAGGCGGTGGAGGTGGAGGCGGGGGCGGCTCTGGTCGCTTTGCCACCATAATGGGTGCTGTCAAGTCGCGTTCCATCACCAGCGCCGATGTGGACGCCGATGTGGATCCCCATCATCCTCATGTCCACTCGATGCTGCGCAACAATGGCCATTCGGCCTCCAGTGGCAGTGGCACGTTGCAGAAGCAGGATCTGCGCTATGACATCGGCTGCAGTTCCCAGTACCAGCATGTCCGCCAGCCGAGCCTGAGGAGTCGGAGCCAACAGCCCATGCCCACCACGGATGAGCTGGACAGGCGGTTTGCCAAAGTTTTGGTGAGTTGGGTTTACAGATTAGTATAAGGATTATTTTGTAATAGGATAAGACTTAGAAGTTAGTCACTAACTATGTTTTAAGATTAAAATTAAGGTTTAAAATTGGGAAAGTAAAGTTCAAGGTGTTGAACCCAAAACACCTTCAAGCTTAATCGTTTTTTTTAGTTTTTTTTGGGAAACCTGAGGCTACCTCTGAGACCTTCGATTATAATATACCATAACATTGATTATAAAAACGATTAATTTTTAATTTTTATTATTTATTATTATTTTTTAATTTTATTTTAAAGCCTGGGGTTAGTTTTCTGTAACTTCCTAAGGGGAGTAACATTTTTGAAATGATTTCTTACTTGATTTCTTTTGTAAGTTTTCCGATTTGAAGTCTTAAGGATTGGCTTCCTGCCACCCCCCTTCCTCACTCCCTTACTTCCCCTACTTCAGAACACTCCCCTCTCTGGCGGCACCCCCTTCATGGAGCTCCTGGTTCCGCCCTCGCATTTGTTGCATGTGATTGATGACCTCATCGGGTGTACGGCGGCGGCGAGTTGGTTGTTCGCTTGAATTTAGTGTCAGATACTCACACACACACAGATACAGTGTGGCTGTGTGCGTGTGTATCTTTGAGTTTGTATTTGCGCCTCTCCCCGGCTCGGTTCTGTTGATGTTTCCACAGCTACAGGCTATAGATCCCCATAGCAGGGACAGTGGTAAAGGGATATTTGGGATTATTTTCAAAAATAGGTCCTTTTAGGAAAGGAGGTTACTTAAAGATACTTTTCTATCTTTAATCTTTGTATCTTTTTTAGAAAAATCTCTAAATTTTGAAGCTATCTTGAGCCACTGTGCCTGTGGGGCGTGTGCCTAGCCTCTGAATATATTTTGTCATCTCACTAGACAATTTTCGTTTTTTTTTCTTCTCCGAACAAGACCGCATAATTAAGATTTTACGAGTAAAAATATTGCCAAAAAAATACAAAAATAAAAAATCAAATAAAAGTAAGAATGAAATAAAAAAAAAAAGCACTTAGTTCTCTCCGAGCTCTTCTGGTTCTGGCTGGTCATGGACTCCGTCTCTGACCCACAGCTGGGATTTGGATTCGACATGCTAATGGCAATTAAAGCAAATTGATCGATACCCTCTCCTCTCCTCTCCTCCACTCTCTCTCTGGGGCTGACTCACGTTTCCCGCTCCCGCTCTGGATGCTTCTCAGATCTGGGCTTATCTCCTCCAAGCCGACCACAAATCTTTATTTATATACGCAGCTCGTATTCTCAGTTATCGGCTCTCAGTAACTTGAGAAATGATTCCACCACCAACGAGGTTCCGAGTTTGGATCGGATCGTTTTTGGCACTACAGATACAGCGCCAGGCATAACGATAAGACCTATACCTCTTCTAGATGTATATATATTTCAGATCTTACAAAGAAAGGGTACTTGTGTCGAATCCAAGGGTATTATCAGACCTTAGATAACCACTTCTGGTCGATCATTGCCTTATTTTCGCACTCAAAGTGTGTTTCTGGTGTGTTTACCTTAAAATCTTGTTGATTTTTTTGTTTGTTTGCCATTTCGGTAGCTGGCTCTGAGGTCTGAGGTCTGGGGTCTGGCTCTGGGCTCTGACTCTGTCTCTGGCCTCGCCCTTGCCTTGCTGGCTGTCTTGGATTTTTTTTGTCTAATTCGTGTTTACCTTAATTTAGTCAAAAAGTGCTGTTTGCTGTTTGCTATTTGCTGTTTGCCATTGAAGTGGACTTGACGGACCAGTCCATTCAACGTCCCTGCAGCTCAATTGTTTATCTGAATCATGCTTTTTAAAAATAACCAGAGACCTAAGAGACCCAAAGACCATTTTCCGCTAATAATTTGCCTTTGGCTGGGGATCTCTAATCGGACGCAGTTCTCCCTGCACATGTTTCCGGTTAAATTACAGAGCTCTCCAGTACTCCAGAGAGTACTATATAGTATAGTAGTTGTTGAGTGGGTTGAGTGAACTTTGTATACGAAAGAGCACTAGGGTGCTGGGGTGCAGTCTCCTAAGAAACTTGGATGCTTTCTCTGGTTATTATTAGTTTATTTTTTTTAGGTGTTTTTCCAACAATATATTCTTAAAATAATCTTCTTCAATTCCTCAAGGTTTCTTCAAAAACAAGGTCATGTGCACAGCCACTGTAATCTGTAATCTTTATATTCGGGAATGCTTGATATAATATCTCTTGAAGAGAAACTCAATGTTTATATTAAGGGGTTATACCTAGTTAGGATTTTCAAAAAATTAAATATTATTTTTGTTCTAATCTAAATATTTAAAATTTAAATTTAAACTCAATCCGATAAATATTTTTCGAACTATACCTTAATTAATGTGCCGGATATCTTTGAAACCTTTTTTTCAAAACAGCGTTTTTAAAGTCGGTGATCTCGATTTCTCGAAAATGTATGATCTGATCGGTCTGAAATTTGTACACAATCTTCTTGGATATGTTCTCAAGCTCCTTAACGAAGGAGATTATTTTTAAAAATTGTATTTCTGTATTTTTTCGACAATTTAACAGAAAAACTAAAGAAAAAAACTAAACATTTAGGTCATATGTCAAAAATTCTTACAGAACAGAATTCGAAAATACATGATCGACATGATATTATCAGCTTAAAAGTAACATATATTTAAGTTAATAATAATTAAAACTTGGACCATTTTTAGACCAGAAGGAGTCTTTTTTTTATTATTAAATTTTACTTATCGAAAAAATCATACTTGTTTCTCTGGGTATTAGGGTTTTCAAGATTTAGTCAAAAAGACATTTAAAGTTTGACTCTAAAAGAAATTAGAAATAAGAGTCACTACCTATTTCTTAGACTATTTTTTAAGCCAACAAAATTTTCATTTTGTTTAAACTCTACAGTAGAGTAACCCCTTAACTCCTGCATTTATTAGCATTTACTTTCTTCACGATAATGAACTCGATTGAAAGTAAAATGAAACAATAGGAGGGAGTCCAGCTTAAACACGATTGCTTATGAATTGATAAAAATTGCAATTTAATTGCTTCGCTGACGGCATCAACTTTCCAGCCAGCCAGAGAGAGAGACTTATCTGCGGTGGTCGGTGTGGGTGTCATTATGGCCAGGCCTAGACATTAATATGGAAAACGGCCAGGAGACTAAACCGCATAGACTAAACTTTCCCAAAGAGACTTTCACTGGGTTATTAATCACCAATCACACCAATCACCTGGGCTAGAATCTATGGCCATATAGCCGCCTTTGTTAATGACATTTTCCAAAGGTTGAACCCCAAACCGCAAGGCAGTGAACCACAACTGTTGTTAACAGCTAACAGTAGGAGGGGAGTTCCCCCCTAATGACCAACTTGTTGGCTTTATCTAACGGATGGCTATGCCCTCTGTGGATGCCTGAACTCTCGGCATTATCTCGGTTGCAGTTCAAATATTTTCTTTATCTTTGCTGGCCACTTCCTGCAAAAAAAACTGCAAAAAAGAGCTCGGTTTTTATGATAAAAACATCAAAGCATATGGCTATTTTTTTTTTTATCGACTTTAGACTTCATGGGAAGATCTTTCTCTAAGGAGTATATTTCAAACAAAGGACTTACTTTCTTGTATTTGGCACGTGCATCGGTTGATGTTTGATCTTAAGTTACGTTTCTTAACAAAACAATTCCTAAACAAAGACTAAGATTCCCAGAAAACAGGAAGTTTAGTACAAATATAGTAGGTTCTATGGTGTATTTCTTAATAATTTTCTTAAGGAATTTTCTTCTTTTTTTTATTTTTATAAACATTTAATGATTGACTCACATGATTGAGTCACTCGCTTGTGTTTACATCTATTTCTATTTCTATTGATGTACATGTTACGCATGAAAAGCATTATAAAATGCTCAGTCTCTAAATTATCAATTAAAAAAGGGGGGGAAATTACTATGACTCTTAGGGGATGGTCTAGTCATTTCAAATAAAATTTCCACTCAGACTCTAAAGAATAATTAGGCATACAAGCCCTCCCTACAAGCCCTTGTTTTTTTTTTTTATCTCTTGGTTATAAAATAATATAAAAAAAGAAATAATAAAAATATATATGTATATATTCCTAAATTGGAGGCTACAAGTACCCCCAAGGCTTAGTCACAAAAAATGAAACAAATTTAAAATGCGTATCCGGTGTGACGGTCAAGTCACATTCATTATTCCATTCATTATCCCATACAGACATGAATGTATTGTACAAACGTCATATAGAGTATATAGTAGTATAGTAAGGTCTCCACTTATATCCGACTTGTGGAGTAAAAGTAGCGCGCACTTTTCGCTTTCTTGGGTCTTGAGACTGAGCCTGCCATGGCATAAATATTAAAAAAATAAAGAGAGCTCCCCGTCTTTGTCACCTTGTTTATTATTCTCTCAAGTATGTTTTTTATGAACATTTCATTTACTTATTTGCTTATTTATTGTTTTATTTTTTTTTTTAAAGAGCGTTGAGGCAAATCAGACTGGGAGTGGAGCTGGGAGTAGGAGTGACGTCTCTATAGGGAGTAGCTAGAGGCCAATGGGCTCGAGGCTTGAGACTCACCCATAACATTACAAATTAATTAATCAATAAATTTTGCAATTATTCTCGCATTTAAAGCCCCCACTTGCTCTCAAGCTCGCCAGGCCTGGGAAGTCTCTTTATATTTCCCCATTGAGCACGTTCTGATAAAAAATCATATACATTGTATATGAAATATAACAAAGGCCACAATTCAAGATAATTTTAATAATTGTTTTTTAGCTTAATTAACACTCGGGAAACTATGATAATTCATGTAAAGTCTCAATGGGAATGGGAAGCAGACACTAAAATGAGAAAATTAGAGAACATTAGCTATAGTGATTTTAAAAACAAACTACTGGGGATGGCTTATATTCCCAACTTGACCATGTTGCACTCCTCGATCCCCGAGAACACACCCTATTTCGTGCTGCTGTGTACTGGTCTAATTAGAACTCCCTCCCAACGGCAGCTGCTGCACCCAGAAACCAGGAGTACTAAACTGGAAAATTTCAATTGGAGTCACGTAAGCATATATTTGCCGATTTCATTATTCCCGCCTGCATTCCCGCCCGTTAAATGGCTATATGCCATACTCTTGACCATTTTACACAATCTGTTTCTGTTGGTCAGGTGGGACGGGCCGTGAGTGTGCTTGGACTGCTTTTTAGGGTCAGTGAGCTGTACAAGATGACAAAGATATGTACATACATAGGTGCAACTAGTGGTCTATTTATTATACCCTTGCAGAGGGTATTATAATTTTGTCCAAAAGTGTGCAACGCAGTGAAGGAGACATCTCCGACCCTATAAAGTATATATATTCTTGATCAGGATCACCTCCTAAGTTGATATGAGCATGCCCGTCTGTCCGTCTGTCTGTTTCTACGCAAACTAGTCTCTCAGTTTTAAAAATTGATTCCCTATCGATCAATTTTTAACCGATTCATGAACGGAGTACCTCAAAAGATATGTTATATGATTTTTTCATTAATCTACATCTAAATCTGGCACTAAAAATTTCCATCAATATTTTTCGATTTTTTTTGTCCGCTTGGGAAATTCAGGATTTTCAAATATGTCGCCGAACTATGTGCATATCTTTGCCAATTCTTAAGCGTTTCTTCCAGTGAATAGCTTCGTTAATATTTGTTTATCAATTCTCCTTAAAACTTCATTAAAACCTATAAACAAAATATTTGATTCATTTTTTTTATTTTTTATGAGGGAACTCCTTGCTAAATACGGGATTTTTGTATATTGCTGGAAGAGATATCTATATCTTTGGCAATTCTTAACAGATTCATAAACGGAGTACTTTAAAAGATTCGTGGATTGATTCTACACCAATCTACTTTAAGATTCAACAACAAAATTTTTTATCAAAATTTTCCCATTTTTGTGTGAGAGAGCCCATTTAAGAAATTTTGGATTTTTAAAAATCACTTTAAACCCTATCCATAACTTTGTCAATTGTTTCCCAATTCTCCCAGGGAATACCTTTAAAGATTTGTGGATCGATTCCTCATAAAACTGCGCTAAAACCTATAAACAACATTTTTCAATGATATTTTTCTTTATTTTCTGAGAGAAACCTTTGTAACATCCATTTTTTTCATATATGGCCCCAAATCATGTCTATTTTGCCATTTTTCATTCAATTTATGAGTGGAATGTCTTAAAAGATTTGTCGATGAATTCCCTTGAATCTTGAATCTGCCTTAAAATCTAGCAACTAGTTTTCGATCGAACCCCTTGATTAATCCACTATTTTTATATGTGGCCCCATAGCATACTCATATCTTCGCTATTTTTTATCTAATTCTTGAGCGGCATATCTTCAAAGATTTGTGGATCAAATCCCCATCGATCTACTTAAAAATATTGCCATAACATTTCCGATCGATATTTCCCTTTTTTTTTTCTTTGTGGGAACCTCTTGTGAATCCTAGGTATCTTAGCTATAGTATATAGCCCCCCAGCCACATCTTTGGATGAAGCTTTCCTTTCTTGTTTTGAAATCAGTTTCAGGGAAAAAGAGCGTGACTGTGTCTCCGCGTCTATGAATAATAAACTTCCCTTTTTGTTGGCTTTTCTTTGTGGCTTAATGACGCTTCCCAATGATCTCATGATCGCCCATCAGCAGTCCCCGCTGAAGTAATCCAATATTTGCATGAATCTCTATATATACATATATGTATGTTGGTACATCAGGCAAACAGTGTTCCGGTAAAGTATCTCAAGAGATGCAAGACTGGATACCTTAATGGGCCATAATGCGTAGTGTACTTTTGGCTTAATGGGTTTTCCAATTGGCTGACTAACATTGGGTGTTTTTATTCAATCATTTTATAGAATTATATAATAGCTATGAATATTGCTCTATTTAAACTTAAAAACTTATGATTTCTTTGTGTTCTTTTCAGGCTTCGATGGATCTGCCACCGGATAAGGCAAAATTGTTGCGAAACTACGATGACGAGAAGAAGTGGGACATGATTTGCGATCAAGTAAGTGGTTTAGTCTAGTCTAGAGGATAAGATAATCTAGTCTAGCTGAGCTAGTCTTGAGGCTATTTTATGGAATATTTTTTTATTTAAAATTAAGCTTCCCAGCTTGGCACTTTGGCATCTCTCTCTTGGGGTCACTGGAGACTATGGGTGTTAGTTCACTGGGGGGCCTATGTCGGGCACCTTGAACGCTGACCTTTAGGCTCTACAACTGCCGAGTGGAGTGGAGTGCCCCCTCTAATTAAACTATATTCCAAATGGCTTTGCACAATCGCGTCTGGCTATGGAATGCCAAAGGCGTTTATGCGTTGAGCAACTTTATGAAGTTCTCCATCAATTAACAACTGGCCGGAGTGGGCTGCTAAACTAGAGCTAGAGTGGGCCTGAATAGTAGAGCTAAGGTGGTCAGTTATTATAATATATTATTTCTATAAGCTAGTATTTTATTTAAAATATTTTTCCGAAATATTTAACATTGTTTTTTAAGCTCCAATGCTTAACAATAAATTGTAGGACATGTGTTTAAATATATACTCCATATATCTCCCTCTCCAGCTATATAATTGAGGTACATATCTGCTCCGACTTTGTCAATCATTATGCAGTGCGTGCTGTTGTGTCGCTCCACAGTTTTGATCTTTTTTTTTTTTTGGGGTTTTTAAATGATTTAAAATTTGCTGACGGAATCCTAAAAAATAGCTTTAGAATTAAGGCAGTAAATTGTACGAATATATATATTTTTAAGAGTGTATCTTTGTACAAATCTAGATCGCGTGTTTTGTTATTATTTTTGTTTTTTTTTAATGGATTATGACGAAACTATTAACGTGTTCGCCAGAGCGTGCCCCTTTTGGTGGATTCTATCTATATGTCCATCCATCCAACTATCTATCCATCCATCTAGCTACTAACTGGGTCACTGAATTTTCAAAAAAAGAGCTGCACCTACAAAAAAACACAAAAATAACAACAACAAACGGAAGAGAACAGTAACAAAAAATAAAACATAATATATTCGCCATCGGCATTTTGGTGGAGTAACAAAAAAAAAAATGAAAAAAAAAAATCAAAACAAAGAAAGGAATTTATTCCAACACTCTCTCAGAGCCTGAGACTTGCCACACAGATAAAAGTATCATAAACACCCAAACACGGCTCCAAGTTGTTGTTCTTACGACTATTGTTGTTGTCCACGTCCCCAGTCACATCCACAGCCACATCCACGTCCAAGTCGTCGCCGGTTCCTTAACCGCCTGCATGCCTGCAGCCCAGACCTGTTTTCCATAATTCAGGCACCATCGCACAGTGGGGTTTTTTGAGGGGAAAATATTACAAAATACAATATTATGTGATATATAACAAAATAATATTATACTTAATATTACAAAATATTAGAAATATTTATTTGAAATTGGCTTTTTGGGGATATTTTTGAAAATGTTAGATCCAAAACCTCTAGAAAACCTGGGATTTTAATTGGAAAGAAAAAATCTAAAAGATACTTTTTTAAAGATTTAGATTAAAAAATTTAGATAAAGATTTCAAAATATAGATTTAAGATAGATTTAAAGATTATCATTATTTTTATATATTATTTTTATTAAAATATATTTCTATTTGAGAACCAAAGCACCTTCTTAAATGCTTCTAATGTAATGATTTCTTTATAAAAAGTAAATTTATTTTTAATCTCTTAATAAATATGACTAATTTGAACATTTTTTCTAATTTTCCTTTAAAAGAAACTTTAATTTTTGAATTTTTAAAACCTTTGTGTTTTAAGACGTCTAGAGGAGGAGGAACCCTGGGGTTCTGAGTAAAAAATAAAAACGTAAACGATACTTTTTCGAAGATGTTTTTTTTAATAAATTATTATTATGATTATAAATTATTATTTGAGAACCTTAGAACCCTGCACCACCTTTTAACTTGCTTTTATTGTAATGCTTTGTTAAATAAAAGATAAATTTTGAATAATAGTTTCAAGCATGATACAATTATATAAGGTAGTCCATTCCACTGACATATCGTTCGGGTTTGCTCACTTAATTTCAAACTGTCAAACTGAAAGGTGATTTTGTTTTCATAACTTTAACCCTTAAGTGGCCAAGAAAAAAATGACTTTTTGCTATTATTGTCATAACTAAGAAAAACTTTTAGCCCCATGCTCCATGTAAGGGTTAATCAAAGTACTGTATAGCCGTTTCACTCGCACTATTCAACGCTTACTATGTTAAAATAAAAATAATGCAGTTAAGTCAACGAATGGACTACCTTATATAATTGTATCATGGTTTCAAGAATATTAGTAATTTAATCAATTTTTCTCAAAAAACTTTAATTTTTGAATTTTTAAAATTTTTCCTTAAAAAAATGTCATAATATTGAGGATATGACAGCCACAGTTGCACCTCTAACTCGGTCTAGTCATGGAAATGAATGAAAACTCAGCCCACTGACAAAGCCAACGAACAGGGAGGCGGACACGCGGACACACGGACAGGTCCGGTGATGATGGTGGAGGCGAACTCGAGCCACTCGAGGACGACTCCTCGACTCGGCTGTGGGTATGAGTGGATTGAAGTGAAGTGGAGTGAAGCCAATCCCCAAACCTCCATGTCCATGCCATCTCCCTCTCTTTCTGTCTGGCTCTTCCTGTCTCTCTTTAGTGACAAAATGCAAATTATTATGACGGCGATAAATTGCAGTTTTTAATCGTTGGAGTCGCTTGCAGTTGGCTTACAAGCATATATGTATATAGTATCTCCCAAATACATATATGGTGGTGGTGTTACTACCGACTAGGAAAAAGAATCAAACTGGTTTCTGGGGTTTCTCTCCTCTCTGGATGCAGTTTGGAGACCCAAAACCGAAAAAAAGCCCACACATAGTTTAGGTTGTAGTCATGCGTTGGTTGCATAGGTCTTTGTTGTTGTTGTTGTTATTGTTGTTATTGTTGTGGTTTTTGGTGGCATAGTTTAAAAAAAAAAAAATAGACAAAAAAAAGCCTAAAAACCAGAGACCAGATACCAGAGACTTGAGCCAAAAACAAGTATACCACGCTTCATGCTTCAAAATGTTTAAAAAAAAGTTAGGCAAGCCATCGATGCTTATGTGGCGATCGTGGCTTAGTTTGGAGGGGGGGTAGCCATGCACACAAATATGCAGTTACAAAAAAACCGAAGAAGAAGAAAATAAAAAAAGTAAAAGCCTCTAAGCCGCAATAGGTTGGTGGTGTTGAGGCATCCACCTCCACCAAAGCCCAGAGAGACTCTTGGGTCTTATATTACTTATTATTACCCTCTAATGTGTACCCCCTAATGTAGTATTATTTATCTACTTTTTTTAGGAAATGGTGCAGGCCAAAGATCCACCCTCACATTACTTGAGTAAACTGCGAACCTACCTGGACCCCAAGGCCTCGCGCAGTCACCGGGTAAGCTATGACTTCTGGATACTCTTCCTGTAGCTTCCTGTAGTGTGGTTTCTGGTTGTCTTAGTAACTAAATCAAAGATTAAATTTAAACTAAAATGATTAACTAAAACCTTCAACTATCTAACCAACTATTAGGCTAACTAAGCTCCTATTTTGAAGGAAGGATTAAGTGATTAAATCTGTTGTTCCGATATTAATGTATAAACTTCACTTCTCTACTCACAACACTGACAACACGCCACGATCCACCCAACCACCCAACCACTCCACCACCCAACCACCCACCCACTCCAATACCCAACCACTCCATCCAAAACACCCACACCCACCCACTCTTTCTCTTCTTTCCTTTGTTTACATCCTGGCACCTGCACATCCTGGAACCGCGTCCTGCCGCCGATGCTCCGACTCTCCGCATCCTGTTCCTCCCCCACCCCCAACTCCGCACTCTGTCTCTCACCTTCCTTCTGTTTGTACACCTGCAGCTTTACCTCTTCTACTTTCTTTGTCAGAAGCGGAAAATGGTCGGCGAGTCAACGTCGACCCAGGTGCTCCGGGATCTGGAGATCTCGTTGCGCACCAATCACATCGAGTGGGTGAAGGAGTTCCTGGACGACACCAACCAGGGGCTGGACGCCCTCGTCGACTATCTCAGCTTCCGGCTGCAGATGATGCGCCACGAACAGCGCCTCCAGGGGGCGTTGTGTGCCTCCGAGGAGATTCAGTATCTCACCAGCGGTGGTGATGGCAGCGAGATCGTCCTGGGCGGCAACAGTAGTTCCATTAGTCCGGGCGGTGGTGGAGGGGGAGCCCTGGCACATGGCGGCAATGGCCTGGCCAATGGCTCCCTGCTGATGGACTCGCGTCACCAGCCGCATGGGCAGCAGTCGCTGTCCTACGGATTCCTGCGACCAGCCCTGCCGGACGCGCTGGACAGTCCCAGTCTGAAGCGGCGGTCGCGGCACATCGCCAAGCTGAACATGGGGGCGGCCACCGACGACATCCATGTGTCCATCATGTGCCTGCGGGCCATCATGAACAACAAGTACGGGTTCAACATGGTCATCCAGCACCGGGAGGCGATCAACTGCATCGCCCTCAGCCTCATCCACAAGTCGCTGCGGACCAAGGCCCTGGTGCTGGAGCTGCTGGCGGCCATCTGCCTGGTGAAGGGCGGGCACGAGATCATCCTGGGCTCGTTTGACAACTTTAAGGACGTGTGCCAGGAGCAGCGGCGCTTCCAGACCCTCATGGAGTACTTCATGAACTTCGAGGCCTTCAACATCGACTTCATGGTCGCCTGCATGCAGTTCATGAACATCGTGGTCCACTCGGTGGAGGACATGAACTACCGGGTGCATCTGCAGTACGAGTTCACGGCCCTGGGCCTGGACAAGTACCTGGAGCGGATACGGCTGACCGAGTCCGAGGAGCTGAAGGTGCAGATATCCGCCTATCTGGACAACGTGTTCGATGTGGCCGCCCTGATGGAGGACTCGGAGACGAAGACGGCGGCCCTGGAGCGGGTGCAGGAGCTGGAGGATCAGCTGGAGCGGGAGATCGATCGCAACTCCGAGTTCCTGTACAAGTACGCGGAGCTGGAGTCGGAGAACATAACCCTGAAGACGGAGCGCGAGCAGCTGGCGATAGTGCGCCAGAAGCTGGAGGAGGAGCTCACCCTGCTCCAGCGCATGCTGCAGCACAACGAGCAGGAGCTCAAGAAGCGGGACACCCTCCTCCACACCAAGAACCTGGAGCTTCAGACGCTGAGTCGCTCCCTGCCGCGTTCCGCCTCCAGTGGCGATGGCTCCCTGGTCAACGGTGGCGGCCTCTTGGCCGGCTCCACCTCAGGAACATCCAGCTTGGCGCCACCACCACCTCCACCACCGATGCCCTGTTCGCCAGTGGCATCGGCTGCCCCGCCACCACCACCACCGCCAGCTCCACCGGCGCCACCGCCGCCGCCCATGATGCCCGGACTGAGTCCGATGGTCAGTCCCAATGGCAGCATGACCTCGACGGTGCCCTCGCCCCCGCATGCCACGCCCTCGCTCAGCTCCTTCCATCCGCCGCCACCGCCTGCAGCCGGCTTCATGCCCGCTCCCGACGGCGCCATGACCATCAAGCGCAAAGTGCCCACCAAGTACAAGCTGCCCACCTTGAACTGGATAGCTCTGAAGCCGAACCAGGTGAGCTTGCTCGTAATTAGTCTCGAATACCAATGGAAACTGATTTATTTCTTGACCTTGCAGGTGCGCGGTACCATTTTCAACGAGCTGGACGACGAGAAGATCTTCAAGCAGATCGACTTCAACGAGTTCGAGGAGCGCTTCAAGATCGGCATCGGTGGCGCCCTCCAGAACGGCAGCAGTGGCACGGAGGTGGATGGATCGCTGCAGTCCAGCAAACGCTTCAAGAGGCCCGACAATGTCTCCCTGCTGGAGCACACGAGGTTAAGAAATATTGGTGAGTAATCCTAGCATCTTCTAGCGGCCACCACCAAGCTAAACCTCCACTTTCTGCAGCAATCTCCCGTCGAAAGCTGGGCATGCCCATCGACGATGTCATCGCTGCCATACACAGTCTGGACCTGAAGAAGCTGTCGCTGGAGAACGTCGAGCTGCTGCAGAAGATGGTGCCGACGGATGCCGAGGTCAAGTCGTACAAGGAGTACATCATCGAGCGAAAGGACCAGCAGCTGCTCACCGAGGAGGACAAGTTCATGCTGCAGTTGTCCCGCGTGGAGCGCATCTCGTCCAAGCTGGCGATTATGAACTACATGGGCAACTTTGTCGACAGTGTCCATCTCATAAGTCCAGTAAGGATTAGGAGTAGGACTTATCTTAGGCCTTGTACTAATGTATGGCTTCCCTTCCACAGCAAGTGCAATCGATAGCCGGAGCTTCCAACTCCCTGAAACAGTCGCGAAAGTTCAAGGCGGTCTTGGAAATAGTCCTGGCCTTTGGCAACTACTTGAACAGCAATAAGCGAGGACCCGCCTACGGCTTCAAGCTGCAGTCCCTGGACACCCTGATCGACACGAAATCCACGGACAAGCGGTCCTCCCTGCTGCACTACATTGTGGCCACCATTCGGGCCAAGTTCCCGGAGCTGTTGAACTTCGAGAGCGAGCTTTATGGTACGGATAAGGCTGCCTCGGTGGCCCTGGAAAATGTGGTGGCGGATGTCCAGGAACTGGACAAGGGCATGGAGCTGGTGCGCAAGGAGGCGGAGCTGCGGGTGAAGGGCGCCCAGACGCACATCCTGCGCGACTTCCTCAACAACAGCGAGGACAAGCTGAAGAAGATCAAGAGCGATCTGCGCCATGCCCAAGATGCCTTCAAGGAGTGTGTGGAGTACTTTGGTGACTCCTCCCGGAATGCCGATGCGGCGGCCTTCTTCGCCCTGATCGTTCGCTTCACAAGAGCGTTTAAGGTTAGTCTGTGACTAGTCACTAGCATCCCTTAAATACTAACTAAGAGTGTCTCGTTTTAGCAACACGACCAGGAGAACGAACAGCGTCGAAGACTGGAGCAGGCAGCTGCTCTGGCCGCCTCGAAGAAGGAGAGCGACCAGGTGCTCATGCGCAACAAGGTTAACCAGAAGAAGCAGCAGGTGAGTGTCTCCGAACCGGAAGTCAACAATCCCCACACATGATCCCCTCCTGGTAACATATGTTATGCTTTATTCTGGTCTGATTTAAGCCGCAAATCCATAGCCTGCTCGAGTTTGCCCTCCAGAAGCAGATGCTGCAACGCAGCCAGTCCTAGCACGCTAACCTGGTTCCTTGGTTACCTCCTCCTCACACACACACACAGACACACACAAAACGCACCATACTCGTTCTAATACTCGCCTGGGGAGTTGGCCAGAGGCATGTCCTCATCCCCAAAACCATAATCCCCCCACAAAACCCAACCTAATTATGGCTCTGTGGGTATCGGTGGCATGTGACGGGGATTAGTGTTGTGTAAAGTCCTACCCCACTCTAGTGTAAGTCGCCTGGCTGGGCTCTACTTGTGTCTCCTAACCCCCCTAACCTCAGACTAATCCTCCGCAGACTAATCCTCGCTAATTCCATCGCTAATCCCATTCCGTCATAAGCTTTATAACCTGATTTTGGTGATGGTTTCTAATGCTAACCTCTCTATATTTCCATTCATTATCCTTGTGGTTGTGGCCTCGAATCGCAAAACAGTTGCCCTCAACCTGCGCGCTCTCCTTGCAGGACGCCGTCATCAATGAGCTGAAGAGCAAGGCGCACTCGGTGCGGGAGAAGAAGCTGCTGCAGCAGGACGAAGTCTACAACGGTGCCCTCGAGGACATACTGCTGGGCCTGAAGAGTGAGCCGTATCGGCGGGCGGATGCAGTGCGTCGGTCGCAGCGCCGTAGGATCGACAATAACCGGCTGTCGCGGACGCTGGAGGAGATGGATTGCTAGACTAGGGCGACCACTAATATTGGCAACGAAAATCGAACGGAGAACGACTGGAGTGGATTAGAGAGTTACTGCAATATGTGATTGGGCGATTAAATTGTTTTGTTTTTTTTTTTTTTTGGACAAAGATACCGAACTCACATTCCCTTCCAAAGAACAGTTTCGAGTGGGATATGGCCCTACCGGTCATATCCTTATAATCCTTAACCCTTATACCAACCGGAAGGGCACAATAATAACAACAACAACTACAACAAGCAACAACCTTCTGTGAATCTCGCCTTCAATTTGTGAGACATTTTTTATCGCCAAAATTATGTTTTAAAAAAAAAAACAAACGCATTATAATTCGGTTGCTTAGAGCTTAAGTTGAACTTGAAAAAAATTCGAATGGTGTATTTATCAAATCTTATATTGTTAAATAATGATTTAAATTTTATCCTGTGTACATACATATATATTCGTATATATATAATATCGAGCTATATATACCAATTAATTTAATTTGTTATAATTAAGTTTTTAACCAAAATGGAAGTACTTGGTGCATCCCATCCGAGATGGCACAAACCGCATGATTATGGAGTTTTAATTTGTATCGTTTTTTTAAGTCATTTAAGTAATGAATTGTATGGAGAAGAGCGTACATAAATCATTAAACTTTTGTATATTTTTTTCTTAATTTTGTTTATTTCTTTTAATCCTCACAGCTAGCTTTTAAAAAATTAATAATAAAAAAAGACAAACCGAAGCGCCAAAATATTGCATGCCAGAATAAATCATTTTTAGAATGTTTACAAATAAAAAATAAACTAAAAACAAAAAGAAAAGACACAAAGCAGAATAACACATTTTATAAGATTTTATTCAAATTTTTATACCAAGAATCTATATATATTTAAAACTATAAGAATATTAATTCCATTTATACGCCAATTTAATTCCCACGAGCCACTCAAAATTCTCAAAAGACTGAATATGGAGCAGTTTATTGAAAAAAAAGCTTTTGTAATCTCTTTCGAACAGTGTCTTCTTATACACGTACATATATATATATATTAGAAATCGTAGATATATATATGTTTAAAAAAATGCAATAACGAATTTAGTTGAACTATAAGCACAGTTTTCTTTTTAAAAAATGTATTTACTTGTAAGTGCAATGGCATCCTTAAGCATATCCTTTCTATAACTTGTCCTTGATTTGCCAAAACACGAGAAAAATAGCGCAAACTCTGCATTGTTAGTTCTTAATTATTGTGTTATTTAATTTAATAAGAAACCAAGCATTGGTATACGAGAAACAGAAAAATAGGAAACTATTATTATGTATTTAAAATGCCACTTTACACACATACATAGATGGCACACTTGAACTATTTTAAATAAATTATTAATTAACCCAATAAATTAGCCAAAACAATAAACAGGAGTTTTTATTTTGAAATTTTTTTGAAAATTCAAATCTTACGTTATTACGTAAGCCTAACGATATACGTAACCAAGTGGCAACTCTGTTAAGGGAGATTTCTTACGTCTGCGTATTTAGGTCACACTAATTGAACAGCTGTTTTCACCTGTTGTCTCTTTATCGCGGACAGCTGTTCAAGAGAGCACCTTGCCGCTTGGAGAAAAACAAAATTAAAAATGATTTAAATTTAAACCGGGAAAGCACGCACAACACACTCTCAATCTAGTAGGAATGTTCAAGCGCACATTTAAGGTGGTCTATCGGCCCATCCGCAGCAATTTCGTTCTGCTGCCGGATCAGTACTACGGCGTCGTCTCGACCTATGTAAGTGTCACAAAGTCCAAAATGCTTTGGTAGAGATTAGATACGCTTGGAGGAGATTAATCTGATGGATTACTACATGTCGACTTTTAGGACACCGGTTGCCTGAGCCTCCAGTACAATGGCCGGACCCACTTTGCCTCCTGGGCTCCCAATGCTGGCGGCGGTGGCATCAAGGACACTGAGATCGGGATCAATGCCAGGACGGCCAAGGAGATTGGTGAGTTTTGTTGGCGAATTACTTAATACCACCCGGGACCGTCCACCCACCGGATGTGCATCGATTGCCAATGTGCCGTAATATTGGTTCTAATTTTTGCCAATTCTTGCCATAGGTCTGCACGAGAACGATTTGGTCAAGTGTTCGCTCATCGCTGACGTTCTCAACCTGCGCAGCGTCCACGTCACCCCCGTCTCGTCCAAGGACTGGGAAATCATTGTGAGTGATGGTTTCGCCTGCTTGCCACTTTCAGCTTAAAAATAGACAAGTTAGTTTATATCGGATTATTGGACATGGCGCGGGTGGGCGGGCGGTCGTGCGCTTGTTCTTTATTTATATTGGCCGGCACATTGCCATTGACCCCGCTGCGTCTAATAGAGAAGTGCATAGTTTAGAAGAAAGACATTTTAAGGAAGTCTCAGGCACTTTTCGCAGAAGTTTCAACAGGATTCTCAATTAGGAATAAGATTTCTTGAGAAGATCTGCTTATAGGGAGTCTAAAATCGAATGTTTTTATAATGAATTCCATATGGTTATCGTAGAGTGTCACCTAACAGAAATAGAAATGATATAAATGTCTAAACATACTTGTTTGTTTTTTCCTAAAAAGATATATACTATATACTTTTAACTACAAATATTTTCTTACCTCCAGGAGCTAAGTACGGAGAAGATATCGGGAAGTGTCTTGGAGCAAACTCGCATTGTAAACTCCTCACAGATTCTAATTGTTTGGATAAACAAATCCATGCAAGTGGCCTTGACAGTTGGTAAGATATATAATATATCAATCATATCCATAATAACATCCATTTTCCTTCCAGATCGCCTTAAACCCCACATGAACTATGGAAGAATCGATCACAATACCGAACTGGTTGTAGCCCCAAATCTTTACAAAGGACTGACCAATGGCACCCTCAACGATGACAGCGAGGAGAACACTAAACTGTCCAGGAGCAAGACCAGTGCCCAGGTCAAGGATGAGCTCTCCGACAGGCCAACGGCCTTGAGTCACTCCTCCACGGTGGCCAATGTGAAAAATACCGTGCAGAGCAATATGCGCCAGAGCCATATGGAGCGGCTGAAGAGGGATCTGTGCAGGGAGAGCTCGCGCAGCTTTGAGTTTCGTGTGATCCGTGGGCTGTGGAGGGAAAAGGCCCAGGAGTCGGATGTGTTTGTGAATAGGAAGCATCTGCCGGAGTTTATGGACTTGGAACAGTTCTACTGCATGCACACGGCCGGGGACAAGGACTACTACGTGCGAGTCTGCCCGCTGGATGACGAGGAGGGGGAGGACACGCTGCCCAGCACCATTCATCCATCCATCGAACTGAACGCCAATCTGATGAAGCTACTGGGAGTCAAGGAACTGGAGCGGGTGGTTCTTCGACCAAAGATTACCGTGGCAAACTTTGTGGAGAAAATAGAGCTGTTTGCCCACAGGAAGACCCACTACAAGATCATCGAGAATGCATTTAAGCGGTTCGTGATCGAGCGAACCCAGCACAGGGCGGTGCTCTTCAACCAGGAGGAGGTGGTGCGGCTGGAGGACGATCTGCTTGTCACCGTCGGCATCCTACCAGAGCATTTTCGCTACTGCGTCGTGGACGCTCAGTTCCTCAAGGAGGCCAAGATCTATGCGGCCGATCAGGTGCGTCAGGTGAACGAGATCATCAAGGAACAGCCGCCGGCATCATCCCCGTTGAGCGTCAAGGACCTCATTCGCCTGCCGGAGTACGACAAGATAGTGGACCAGATTGTGAGTGAGCTGCGTATGAATCTTTGCCTCAACTCGGATAACTCTGTCATGCGGCAGTGCAACGTCCTGCTCACTGGCGCCCCGGGCACAGGGAAATCCGTTCTGGTGGAGCGCATTCTGGACCAGTTGTCCCACAAGCCGGACTACTGCTACTTTGACATCTTCTACGGCTCCCGAAGCAAAGGTCGCAAAACCGAGTCCATTCAGAAGGACTTGCGGAACATATTCACCAGCTGCCTGCAGCACGCTCCGGCCATCGTTGTCCTGGAGAACTTGGACGTCCTGGCCCATTCGGCCGGGGAGCAGTCCAGCCAGGATGGCGAGTACTACAACCGCATGGCCGACACCGTCCATCAGCTAATCGTCCAGTACACCACCAACAATGCCATCGCCGTGATCGCCACCGTCAACGAGCTCCAGACCTTGAACAAGCGCCTCAGCTCGCCCAGGGGCAGGCATGTCTTCCAAACAGTGGCCAGGTTGCCCAACCTGGAGCGGGCAGATCGGGAGGTAATCCTGCGGGAGCTCTGCAGCCATATCAGTGTCTCCAAGGACCTGGATCTGGTCAAGTTTTCCAATCTGACGGAGGGCTATCGGAAGTGCGACTTGGTGCAGTTCGTGGAACGGGCTATATTCTATGCCTACCGTATTAGTGAGTCTCTAGATTCTTAATATTATTATTAACTATTAATATTTTATCTTCCAGGCAAGTCGCAGCCCTTGCTTACCAATGAGCAGTTGATTGAATCCCTGGAACACACCAACTCCTACTGCCTGCAGGGCATTCAGAGCAACCAGAAGACCACCAATGATGCGGAAGACAGCGAACTGCGGGTGGAAGAACTGCCGGGTCTGGAGTCCGTGGTGGGGGTTCTTGAAGAGGTGCTAATGTGGCCATCGAGGGTAATAAGAGACACAATTATAGCTACTTTGGTTCCAAATTGTAATACCAATCTCTATCCTTAGTATCCCACCATTTTCAATGCCTCTCCACTTCGAAACCAAGCTGGAGTTCTACTTTATGGACCTCCTGGCACTGGCAAGACCTACCTGGTCTCCCAACTGGCCACTTCGTGGAACCTGCGCATCATTTCCGTCAAGGGACCGGAACTGCTGGCCAAGTACATTGGCCAGAGCGAGGAGAACGTGAGGAACCTGTTCAACAGAGCTCGCAGTGCTCGGCCTTGTGTGCTCTTCTTCGACGAGTTCGACAGCTTGGCTCCGAAGCGAGGCCACGACTCCACTGGAGTTACTGATCGGGTGGTGAACCAGTTGCTCACCGAACTGGATGGTGTGGAGGGACTACAGGTGGGGGTTTCCTAAAAATAGTAGTTGGAGGTTTTCTAAATCTCTTCCACCTTAGGGAGTCACCGTGATAGCCGCCACATCCAGGCCAGAACTATTGGATCCGGCACTCCTCCGATCTGGACGAATCGACCGCCTGGTCGAGTGCCCACTGCCGGATCCCGTGGCGCGTGTGAGGATCTTTGAAGCCCTCAGCTCCACCCTCAATCTGGACGAGTGCGTGGACTTTGATTGGTTTGCAGGACGAACCCCCAACTACACGGGAGCTGACATCCAGAGCATTCTGACCTCGGCGAACATGGCAGCGGTTAAGGAGGCTCTGGCACAATTCGGACATGAGGTGAGTACTTCGTTCCTAACCACCGGAAACGGACCTTGGAGTTGGGTTTGGTTTTGGTTCTTGGTAATCCAAGTCGTTCCCATCATCGGGGCCAACAAGTGCATTTAACTATTTTTGGGGGTAGACTACGTGACTGGCATTTGGATCAGGATCTGGTATCTAGTATCTTGTCTATGGTATCTATGCGGGTCTCCAGATTGCAGAGATTTTAGTTGTTTTCAGATATCAGTCACGTAACGGATATTTCCTTATTGATATGCGATTATTGCGCATGCGCACGTACTGCCACTACACCAGCCAATACAATGGAAACATTTTCTTTTCTTCTTGCATAAATTAAGCCTGCCGGCAAACAAAACAGATAATCAAGAATTTCAACGAGCCAAAGCAACATGTTTAGAATTAACCAAAAAAAAAAAAAAAACAATAAATACAAGAACCTCAAGTACCTCAAGAAATAAAAGAAAGGTACCTGAGAATGTGTTAGAACAGGTAGAGGCGTACTTGGTGTACTCGCACCGAGTCTTACGATAAAATATTGATCCAGGACCCTAAGAAGTCTCATCGTATGGTGGTGTCGTATCGGTTCGGATCGTTTTGGATTCGGCCACGTACGAGAGCCATTGAATAAGTTTTTTTTTTCCGTTCCGATCGTAACTTTCAGTTGTTAGCTCACGTTCAAGCCAATCGGATGTTTACGCTCGACTCCTCCACTCAAGATTGCAGAAATAATTCGAAAAGCTCCACGGACCTCGGTTAGTGCAACGGAAGTGGTCTCTCCCTCGCTCCTTCTGTTATTTGCAACAAAGCGGAAATGCAACCCGTCTGTGCCCTTTTTCTTTTGCCTCTTAAAAAAAAATTAATTAAATTAAAATAAATAAAAATAAAGCAGTTCCCTCTCGGAGTTCAAGATTGACAGTCGCAGTCCCAGTTCCAGAACCGCGAATTATTGTGACAATATTTTTCTTTGGTTTTATTTTATCGGCCCCTCTCCCGACAAATAATAAAGACAAAGAACGTGATTTTTTGGACAAAGATTTTCGGCTGGATTGTGGTATATATAAGAAAAAGAATTATATATCCATTGCGGGTGACAGGCAGCCGTAAAACAAAAATAAAGGGAAACGTACCAGCCAGTTCCCGTCAAATAAATACCAAACTTGTCAAGTGCTTGGAAAATAAACAAATCAAATAAAAGTGAAGAAATGTTTAATAAAATATATAAATCATATATATGAGTAAATGAATTAATTTATAATATATTAAATTTATAAAATAAATCCCAACCAAGTTAAAATGCCATATCTATTATTCAAAAGATACATTCGCTCGGCAATTATTCAAAAGATAAAAAGGTGTTGGCCAAAATGCTTTTGGCCATGTGTGCTACTACCACTTTGGCGGCTTCCCATCTCCCATTGACTAATATTGAATGACTGACGGAATGAAATAAGTAAAAATAATAATAATAATAATAAATACTTCAAATACAGCAATCGACTCGTATTTGGCAAGAAATGCTTTAAAAAAAAGGAATTGAATAAATTAAAACCTGCGACGCGTGTGCATATATATCGGGACTGGAAACAACTACAACAACAACACCAAAGACAACAATTACTAGAAAAACCAACAACAAAAAAAACATTAACAACAACATACTATTGACAATCCAAACGATCGTGGCATGCCTTTCAAACAATTTAATAAATTTCATTAACGGCACAGTGGTTAGGAGATATGTTAGTTAATTGAAGTAAATAACTTAGTTAGTTGACAGTTTAAATTCCAAATATTATAAAAAATAATAGATAATAGATAAAAGATTTAATTTTAATATAATATGAAAATCTTTATTAAATTCCTCCGAAACTGCTAACAATTGAAACTGCAAGCAAGTTTTTGGAAATAACATGATTTCCTAATTGGAAATACCTCTTAGACTTGCTTATCATCTTTAATCGTCGAGCTTGATTAATTCTTGAGTAATTTGTTTGGCAAATATTGCTTAAAGTTATCACTTCCTTTTTTTTACACTTTTTTTTAGAAAACAAAGAAATTATATATTTTTATGGGTTATTATAAAAATTGTTTGATTAATTAATCAAGCCTTTAACTAAAAAGAGCTAAAACCTCAAGGCCAAGTTTATCATTTTAGTTTTTTTTAGATAAAAATAAAGTAATTATTGAAATAAACTTTGTTTAAGAGCATTTCCCAGTCTTCTATAAATTTTATTGTAGATTCTATGGCATCATACTACCCTCCCAGTATTTCTCGATTTGCGGTTGCAATTCTTTAGCACCTTTGGGGTTTTTTTTTGTTTGCTTGACAAACTGCAGGGCGGCAGGTAATTAAAAAAATAACTAAAATGTGTCAAACCACTGTGGCTGAATAGAATTATTTTTTTTTTTGTTAAACAATTTAACCGTCAAGTGGTTTTCTAACTGTTTCTTTTCTTTTCAACTATTTTGGAACAACTTGGTGCTATAGCGACGCATTTGGCCAATGTCGAATATAGCCAAGTTATAATGGTGGGAGTGGGAGTGGGGGTGGAGGCCAGTGGGAAGCCGTGGAGTGGAGTGGGTGGCAGCCAGTGTGGTGTGTCCGGCAATTCAGTGGCTCCGACCACGTCTTCCACCTCATTACTGAAACAAGGCACACCGTCTTCGATGTATTTTTTTTTTGCTGGTGCTGCTTCTCCTTTGGATTTTTGCATATTGGTGCGGACTGACTTGACTTGGCTGTGTGCCGTGTTGGCAATAAAATATTAAACAATAATAATAAATAAATAAAATGACATAGAGTGGCAATCGAAAAAAAGGCACAGATCTTGCAGGGAGGAACGAGAGAGGAGGAGCTTCAAGATTTGGCAATATTTATGAATCTTTAGACAGAGGCGGTTGAAAAAATGGTTTTAAAAAACGATCTTAAAATCTTAGTAAATTAATTGAATATTAGAATTGATTTTAAAATATAAACCTGCAGTCTTTGTTTAACAAAATGATGTATTTTTTATAGAAAAAGCTTAAAATTATAACCTTTTTTGGTTAATTTTTTTCAAAACCTGCTGATAAGCTTTGATAAGCTATTTTTTTGACCGCCACTGTCTAGACATTCACTTGCATTCACATACCATATAGAAACCATATTCCCAACCAGATCCACTCAAGAGAATCCACTTGAGCCATGGCAAAAGTGCTGATCACGCTGATCATGTCGGGGATTGCGCTCGTCTTGGCGGCTCCCGACTTGGGATGCGATCTTGGCCAGCACCGCTGCTCCATCGACGTCACCGCGGAGGGCAATAACCGCCAGTTAGTCCGGCACATACCCTCCGACTTGGACATCACCCTGAAGTGCTATCGACCCTCGGTCCAGTGGTACTACCAGGACGAGTACCAGCTGGCGGGTTACACCATCCAATTGGAGCGAGCCCAACCGAGGCAGTCGGGGATATATAGCTGCCAGGATGCCCAGAAACGTTGGTACAACATATCGCTTACAGTGGGCCATCAGGAGACCGAGGCCATCAACGACATAGCCAGCTTCCCCAAGGTGGACAGCGCCGAGGCGGATGTGGAGTTTCAGCTGCTGAACTCCACCCAGAAATCCCTGGAACTGCAGAAGCCTTTGCCCCCATCTGTGCAGCGTACTGCCGGCACCCTCCTCCATCTGGACTGTTCACCCACCGAGCCCGACGATCTCCGGATGAACATCACCTGGCTGCACAACAACCAGATCCTGGGTGGCCGGGGTCGCATCAAGATGAAACGGTGGACCCTGACCGTGGGTCAGCTGCAGCCGGATGACGCCGGTAGCTATCGCTGTCGACTGTGTGCGGAGCAGGGATGCGTACTTAGCACTGAAACCAAACTGGAAGTGGTAACCCGAAGTCACACTGTGCCCGTGCTGCGTCCAGGATATCCCCACAATATCACAACGGTGATTGAACAGCATGTGAAGATCCCGTGCCTGCTGGAGGACTCCACGCTGGAGCCAAAGATCACGTGGCTGCACAAGAAGCATGTCGATGACATCGAGGATGTGCTGCAGCGCCTGAAGGCCAGCCCATCGCTTCCAAAGGACTTTCAAACGATGGTGGTTCTGAAGGACGAGCCGCAGGTTCTGTCCCTGGGCTATGTCTCCATGGATGATGCCGGCTGGTACATCTGCATAGCGGAGAACGCCCTGGGACGCACAGCGGGTGCCGCCTATCTGGAGCTGCACGAATCGGTGGTGGAGACCACCACCACGACACGAGTGCCGGCAACCAGCAGGGGTAGCACCACAACGGCCACTCCCTCAATAGTGGGCGCCGATCAGGATGCCTACGAGGAAGAGCCTGGAGACGGATCTCGCAATGAGGGCCCACCAGTTTTCCGAAAGGAGCTACAGCGTCTGGAGCACAAGGTGGCCGGGAAGACCATTACGTTGGCCTGTCCCGTTGATCGGCCGGCCAACATCACTTGGACCAAGAACAAGAAGCCTCTTTTCCGCTCCACCGGGGTCTATGTGGAAAAGAAGTGGATCCTTCGCTTCGAGGACGCCACCACCGAAGACTCTGGGAGCTATACCTGCCGCGTGTGCAACGCCTTCGGCTGCATCCACTTTGATTTCAGCGTGAAGATCTTCGAGCGCACCCGCTCCTCGCCCATTATAGTGGTGCCGCTCAACCAGACCGCTCAGGTGAACAGCAGCGTGGTGATGGAGTGCTCCGTCCTGTCCGACCTGCAACCCAACGTCCATTGGATGCGGGTGAAGCCCCGCAACAGGTCGCAGGAACTCGGCGACCTGCAAGTCATGGCACTGAACACCACCGAGGCCACCAATCCCCTGCTGCTGAAGCTGCACAATGTGACCCATGACGACGAGGGCTGGTACACGTGTGTGGCCTCCAACTCCCTGGGACATTCGAACTCCAGTGTCTATTTGCGGGTGGTGGACCATCTGCCCCATTTGGAAGTGTACGCCCTGCTTAGGGCCCATCCTCTGGGCTTCACGGTGGCGGCCATCTCGATTGTGGTTCTGTTTCTGTCGGGGAGCGCCTTTACGGTTTACATGCTGCGTCGCCTTCGCCGGGAGAAGCTACTGAAGCACCGCATCGAAACCGTCCACCAGTGGACCAAGAAGGTCATCATCTACCGGCCGACCAGCGAGGACCAAGGCAGCGCCTGCTGTGCCGGCGACTTACAAATACCCGTCATCCGGATCGAGAAGCAACGCACCACCTTCTCAACCACGGAATCGGGCGCTGATGCCGCCCAGGGCTTCAACGAGTACGAGTTCCCGCTGGACTCCAACTGGGAGATACCGCGCCAGCAGCTCCGGCTGGGCTCCATTCTGGGCGAGGGAGCCTTCGGGCGGGTGGTGATGGCCGAGGCTGAGGGCATGCCCCGAAGCCCCCATCCCGCCGAGACTATTGTGGCCGTCAAGATGGTCAAGGAGGAGCACACGGACGCGGATATGGCCAGTCTGGTGCGAGAAATGGAGGTGATGAAGATGATCGGCAAGCATATCAACATCATCAACCTCCTGGGCTGCTGCACCCAAGGCGGCCCGCTCTGGGTCATAGTGGAGTACGCCCCGCACGGCAATCTGAAGGACTTCCTCAAGCAAAACCGACCAGGAGCGCCACAGCGCAGGAGCGACAGTGACGGCTACCTGGACGACAAGCCCCTGCTGCCCTTCCAGCAGCTGGGCGAGAAGGAGCTAACCAAGTTCGCCTTCCAGATCGCCCGCGGCATGGAGTACCTGGCCTCGCGACGGGTAGGTTTCCTCACAGATCTTGTCCGAAGAGAAGACTTAGTTTTAATTATTTCCAGTGCATCCATCGCGATCTGGCAGCTCGTAATGTCTTGGTCAGCGATGGCTACGTGATGAAAATCGCAGACTTTGGACTGGCCCGAGACATCCAGGACACGGAGTACTATCGAAAGAACACCAACGGCCGGCTGCCCATCAAGTGGATGGCTCCGGAATCGCTGCAGGAGAAGAAGTACGATTCACAAAGCGATGTCTGGAGCTATGGAGTGCTGCTGTGGGAGATCATGACCTACGGAGAGCAACCGTATCCGCACATCCTGTCCGCCGAGGAGCTCTACAGCTACCTGATAACGGGCCAGCGAATGGAGAAGCCGCCCAAGTGCTCGCTCAACATTTATGTGGTGATGCGACAGTGCTGGCACTTCGAGTCCTGCGCCCGACCCACATTCGCGGAGCTGGTCGAGAGCTTTGATGGGATACTGCAGCAGGCCAGTAGCAATCCGAACGATGCCTATCTGGACCTCTCCATGCCCATGCTGGAGACACCGCCCTCGTCGGGGGACGAGGACGAGGGCTCCGATACCGAAACATTCCGAGAGACTTCTCCCCTTAGATACCAATATACGTATAAGTTTAATTAAATTATTTTAATTAATATATATTATAATATAATAATATAATAATTATATTATTATTTTAATAATAATATAAAAATCACTAATCTCTTAATCCTTCCATCGCAGAAATTGCCAAAGAAAATTTCGGTGAAGCAAAAGCACCTGATCGAGTCCTTCCATTCAACCCGGCCATCGCTCAGTGCCTCCGATGTGGCCAAATATCACAAAACGTAAGTTATAATTAAATATTTATTATCTATAAATTAAATTAATTAATTTCATTGTAGATATGCACGCTTTACCAACAAGGAGAAAGGCTCCCGGGAGTTTGTGGCCAAGAGGGCCACTTTGGCTTAAAGACAAAGACTTAATTAGCTTAGAATTATTATTTTTAAATCGCACTTTGTATCTTTGCACTGACAACGGCAATGTCTTTGGTTTTTGTACATTTCATAATTATTTTTGTTGAGATAATAAAAAACGAATTTGTTTGAATAATTGTGTTGAGTTTTAAAAGAGAGGACTAGCTCTGGTTCTTCTTAAGAGATAATTGAATGAACTCTTATCTGGAAACAGAACACAATCTGTGGCTTTGAATATTATATTTTATATAATATATCATGTTTATTTATAAAAAATACTTTGTTCAGTTTACTGCGAGATGTTAAGATCGACATTTGTGTGTTTTGGTTTTCTCCTCTGGGGAATGGCTACCAAGGGCTATGGAGATCGCTGGATTCTCCCATTCCTGCGTAGGAATCTTGAGAGATCTGAGATGGCTATAGAACCCACAGAGTGGCAGGGACGACAACGATTCCTTCTGAATCTGCTACTCCAAGTCCACAAGCCCCTGCTTCATGAGGATCTGATAGAAATGGGAAGTCAACTTAACGAAGATCCGAGGGAGTACGAAGAAGTAAGTCAGATTAAGTCTAATATAATCTGAATCTAAAATAATATTTCCCATCAAGGGCTCCTGGCCAAAGGTAAAGGATTTTCTGGAGAGCGTTCATGGAAATAAAATCCCTCGCCCCTTTGCCATCTTCAGCCAATTGGACGAGGAGATGCCCCAGTTGCTTTTGGGAGTATATCACTTTCTGTCTCTGGCCAAGGACTGGTCGTCCTTTCAGCGAAATGCCTGCTTTGCCAGGATTCACTTTCATCCAGTGCTCTATGTCAATGCCCTGCAGATGGCGATGAGCAAGAGAAAGGATACCCAGGATCTGAGATTGCCGGCCATGTATGAGGTGCTGCCGCAGCTGTATTTTGAGAAGGAGGTGATCCTGGCGGCCCAGGAAGTAGCCTGGCATCAACTGACGCCAGTTCGGCTGGTGACTCCCAAACGACGATGGAAGGACATCCTTCTGGGACCTGCTCGCATATCCCTGCCCCCTAACGAGGAAGCCTTGTCGCCAGATCCTTTGGTGATCGACAACAGTAGGAAGATGGCCCATGTGAGTTTGGATCTGGAACTGAACTCCTACTGGAATAGTCTCATAAATCGCCTGGTTCTGACCACTGAAGAGGAGAAACAGCGGGCGAAGGAAAACATCATCATAGATGGCGATCGCTTAGTGGCCTTTCGAGGACCTCAAGATGAAGTCGATTTTCGTAGGAAGCTTGTGATGATAACCAATCCTGGATTCCTCTACAGTCTCCAGCAATTTATGAGTGTCTTGTCTCTGGAAGATCTTGCCACTGGGGAAAAATCAATGGAAATCATTGATCCACCCCTGGTAACCACTGGAGGAGTTCCCTATAAATCCACAAACTTGGATATAGATGCTATTGAAAGTGTTTTAGATTTGACCATACAGGACCTTAAGAGTCAGATTGATAGTGCCATCAAATGGAATGATAATGAATCTGAGAAGGTTATTATAGCCAATCGGGTTATAAGTAATAACTATCTCCAGACTTGCCGGCAATTGAGCTTGGCCATTAATGGTTACAGGTTAAATGAGCCAAGTATGTTATCCCTGGCCACCGCTAATCTAAGAGATCCAATCTACAGATCCTTGCTGAATCGATTGAATCAGTTATTAGTCTCCTTCGAAAAGATAAACACGCCCTCCGAAGGGGATTACAATCCATATAACCCAGAAATAACCGATGTTGACGTGGGCTACCTCTCCACATTTGAGGAAACCTTCGACACCGATCTCATCAATCTGATTGACCAGCAGCTTCTTCAATCTCGGCGAAATAATTTGCAGTTCCTGCGACGTCATCTGGTGGCCCGGCAAAGGCGCCTTAATCATGATCCTTTCGACATCAACCTGGATATTACATCTCCTGCAGAAATGACCCTCCAGTTGGTAGTATATCTAACTCTTCCAAATGAAAGTAGAGAGTCGGGCTTCCAACTACACACCACCTCGTGCTCCTTGAAGAAGGGTTTCAATAAAATCCATCTTCACTTTCCAACGGCCTTGAAGGAACCCTCCCTAAGTGAACTCTATGAGGCAGAGTATCCTAAAACACAAAGAGACAAATCCATACGTTTTCCCGCACATCTTCAATTGCCCAGAGGAACTATCGAAGGTCTCCCACTCCAAATGGTGGTGGAACTGGCAGCAAGGACTTCCCTTGAGCAGGAGTTCAGTGATGTGTCTGCCCCCGTCCTTGCGAAAACTATGAAGGATGTGCTAATCTTCCATCAACAGACCCAAAACTATTAAGCGATAATATATGCTAAAATGTCTAAACTCTTAATTGAGTTTTAGTTTTGTGGAGAAAGGCATATGTTTGTTGAAAATAAAGGTAAAGGCACTTCCCCCTTTAAAGTAAATGTAAAATTTAAAATTATTAAATCACAAGTCTCTGAAAATAAATCAATTATCAAGTAATTAGCTATATTTTCAACTTGAATATTTCTAATTTCTTTGGCAAGGAATATACAACATCCTGGCACCCTGGCACATCCTTTCTGGTGGGGGGAAATCAAATAAAACGACTGACAAAATGGGACACAAACTGTGAGACATCCCCAGCTCAAAAATGAAACTTGAAAACGCACCAAAACGGTTTATTATACGAATACGATGACAACAAAAAGGCATAATAGTAAAATTAAATGTGTCTATTATGCCGGGCCAATACAATGCACACATAAAACCGCACTCACACCCACAAGGCAGGCCAAACAGGAGCCTTGAAATCACAAATGCACTGAGAAAAATTATAGGACTAATAGAATTTAATTTAAATAGGTACAAAAATATAAGTTTGCAAAAAAATGAAGTATTTAAGGTTCTTTTTTCGATTGGAAATCTTAGAAGTATGGTCTTAACAAATAGTTAGAGGAGGGCCATTTATGAATTATATTTTTTTAAAAACCAGGCTATTAATAGTATTTATAAGAAAAAGGTCCAATGTATTGAAATTTAGAATCAAAAATTATAAAATATGGAGGGATATACTTTTAAGGAAGATACATACGACTCTTAAAGATAATTCCCCAGGTTACAAATAATTTAGACAAGTCATAGCTAAAAATGAATAAATCCCTTGATTTCAAGGAATATCTTTTATAACAACTATTTATCCCATATTTTTATTTCAAGGAATATCCTTTATAAGGACTATTTATCTCCGTGTAACCGATGGCAACATTTGGCTGGCAAGAAACATTCAAGGAAGGATGTCTTGCTTAGGCGGTTGCACAGTATTTGAAGTGCTACCATAGGATGTCGAGGATGTGAAGGATGTGGATGTGGATGTGGATGTGGCTGGTTTGTCAGTGGCACATTCGCATAAAAACAAATGCACACAATGCCAACTGCTACCAACCAACAACGGCAACAATCCCATTCAATTCCCCTTAACAAAACGCCGAGAAAAAGAAGAGACAGGAATTGTCGTCATCAACTAGAATGCCTCTCATCTGTGTGTGTGAGTTTGGGTCCTGGAATGGAAATGGAGTCGTCCTGGGCGTGTTTGTTCCTAGATAAGCGCAATAATATGCACGTATTTTACGGCAACTTACACCCACACACCACCCCCACACACCACCACCCAACAAAAATAAATTCCCCCGCCTTTGGTTAGCCTCGAAAATTTTCTAAGAACGCGCCAAAATTTAAATGCGAATTGTTTTCACTTTGTTGGCAGCGTCGCTTTGCCTAATTGACTTTGTGTTTGGGTGTTTTTTTTCCAGCCCCCCAAAAAAACATAAAAAATAATGTAATAATGGATAAAAAAAGGCAAACTGAATAGACGACAATCAGCAGTTGCTTTCTTGGCCTTTCTTTTCAGTTTCCAGTTTGTTTGCCTTCTAATTTGCGTGTGGTTTATCAAATAGAATAAAAAATGGAATGGAAATGGAAATCCCCTCTCTCCTTGCCAAAATCCCCGCAATTAAAATGGAGAAAAAAAAAGAAAAGTTATTCTTTACTTTGAAAGCTTATTAATTTGGCAATTGTTATGGCCAGTAGGAGAATTTGGGGCTTAGGATGAGGCTTAAGCGGAATGCTTTTTGGATTCTGATGATTCGGTAATCTGGGGAGGGAAAGAAACATATATAAAGTATTATAAATATATCTATTATAAAGATAAGGGGTTTTTTGGAATGTTTGTTATATAAAACTATGAAAGAAAAATATGTATTTTAAGATATTCAAATTGTACAAACCTATAATAGGAGACATGATAGAAGTCATCATACTATAATAATTATAACCTTTTCTTTTAAAATTTAAATAATATTTTTGCCAAATTGAGACCTTTAATATTCCGGCATCGTCCATCTTGGCCATTTTCAGGCTTTCTGCCATCTCTTGTGGCCTTCTATGGGTATTGTGTTTCATTTCCGTTTTCATTATTATTTGTGGCTGTCCGACTTTGACTTGAATTCCGATTCCCCGCCTGCAAGAAGGCGAGGTCCTCACATCCTCGTCCCTGTTGTTGTCTCCACTGGCCCTTTTTTTCTTATATTATTTTTTTTATTATTATTCCCGGGGCATGAGGCATCTATGGGGGCATGAAACGAAGAACAACGTCAACGACGATGGCAACTTCCTGCTATCGTGCTAATTTCCGTTCCTTTATCTTGACACAATGGTGCGCATTAAAAGTGAGATGGCGGGCAGGACTATGGTTGGAAGGGTGAATCCAAAAATTCTGTTGCAGCTTCATGACCACTGCGTTTTGTATTTCCGCCCCCCAATATCTAGGATGGTTATACCCCGCCAACTCCCCAAACTTTGTAGCCATATTAGCAGCCATTTTTGTTTTGGTTTTGTCAACCCACCGAAACGAAGGAGCCATTTGAAATTTTTGGGGGTGGCTTTTAGGAGAATGCCACCAGCCCTAGCTAGCTCCATCTCCCTCTACTCTCTATGCCACATGCCACATTCAAAAATTTGCATTCAGCAACAATATGAAGAAAATATTGATAAATGCCCGCCATTAAACGCGATTAACAATTTGAATTATGTGGCAAAGCCAAATTTTATTGCCACAACAATTCTATGGCCAAACAAATGGCATCATTATTAAAATGTATATACAGAGGCCATAATTTCCGTGGATTATTTAAGCGCAGCATAGAATCGCACAGCATTTAAAACAACATTTTTGAATACTTTTCCGCGGACACGCGGACACGTTCAAAAATCTGTGAATGCAATTGCGCGAATACCGAAAATTATTGGCAATTGTTTGGCCCACCATTCAGTTTGAGTTCCAGTTCCAGCTATAGCTACAACAAATAGCCACAAAAAGCCTTTGGAGACTTAATGCAATTTTAGTCTAAACAGTTGCCATCAAAATTTTCAATGAATTGCATCAATTGCCGGTTCATTGTTGCCACAGTCCCTCAATACAAATTTTCCTTTTTATTTTTTTTTATTTTTGTACCCACTGCTGTTGTTATTCTATTTGCAATCGAGGGGGCGTGGCATGCTGCACACGCCCTAATCTAGATGGAGCGGGAGATGGGCCAGGGTGGTGGCAGGGTGGCATGGTGGGTGTGGTAGGCAGAGGGCGGTTTGTGTAGCAAAATAATTGCAGCGCACGTGTCAAAAATATTCAAAAAGGCTTAAGAGGGATTGTGTTTTGGGATTCTATGGGATTGAAGAGTTGGAGGATTTATTCTATTTTTTTGAGTTGGTTGGGAATTGCAGTATGGACTTTTGTGGACTTTCCCCTTCTATGGAATATTTTTATTATTTCTTTAGCGTTTCTTGTGTTGTGTCCAACTGATTGCATAAATTGTTTCGGAATTTAATCAAGTTGATGGTAAAAGTTCTTTTATGATGGACAAATATGAGGTCCTGCGGTGGGAATGCACTGAGAAAAAGTTTATTTTGTGGGTATAGGACCTTTTGGGAAGGTATTACCTGGCAAAAATCGCTCTTACTGGTTTTAAAATTGTTAAAAAAAAAATTATACAGTATCTTTAAGCTGGAGAAGTTAGTCAAAAATTAAGAAATAGTTTCTTTTATCCCTTTTCTGTAATCACGATTTATTTTTATTTTAAAAAATACATCAACCTTTATATAATAAAATTAATATTTTCTTAAAATCCTTTTAATTCTTTAAATCTAAAAAAAACCTCTAATGTTAGTGTACTTTATTAGCTTTTATAACTTTGTCTCGCACAAAAAAAGTATAGGTTTTTTTTGTGAGCTTGTCGACCATCCTGGAATTTGTTTTGATTTGCTGCAAATTTGCCCTGGCATTGTGGCCAATTCCTCTAAGTATGTCTATATGCCTGACTCTGACTCTGACCCTGGCCCGGGCCGCTTTATTACTTTTTGCTGTCGCCTCTGGCTTCCTGGGAGTTCAAGGGTGGTGTGATAGAGACCCCTCGGGGGTGAGTTGTCCTACGAGTGGGCATTGTTTACATTGTTGTGGTGTGAATAGCAAATAAGCCACAACCAATTCAAGGCAAATCCCATTTTTATAGCATACTTACTGCCGCATCTCCTTACTGCCGCTTAACCCCACACTCACCCATATAGAGCCGTAAATAAACATAATATAGAGCCTGGAATACCCGCCCATAAATTAATTCTAATTGCAGTTCATAGAGCCAGCGCAGCACAAAATTTTATTCTCCACATTTTCACACCTCATTAGTTGGCGAAATCTGATAAAAAAAGAAGATGGAGGGGGAATCACAAAAAAAAAAATGTGTTTTAATAGAAATGCTGGGTGAAATGCACTTACCGCTGCAATCTGTGGCCACAAAATCAATTTGCGTTTAAAATATACAATTTTCAAACGGATGAGGAAAGAAGGTCCTTGCATGCTGGAAATAGAAATTAAATGGCTTTCGTGTCTGTGGCTGCAAATTGATTGATTTTGCTGTGACAGCAGCGGTAATTGAAAATATTTTTGTTAACTATTAGTTTTTCCATCGGAATCTGTCAAGTCAAAGTGGGGAATAAGCACAGCCACCAAGCCCTCCCCCCACCAAAAAAAATCATCCTTTCAACCTGTGTCCGCGTCCCATCCGGTTTCCGTAATCTCTCCACCATCTCACAGGATCCGGATCTTCCTGTTGGGTTGAGGTGTGTGGTATTTTTGGAGGGGTTACCAATTTTTGATACCCTATTTATTAAGTTCTCTGCATATATGTACATATATATTTATTATATATTTTTCCTTAATGATTTCATTTTAATTTTTTAATATTTAGATTATTACTTCTTTGATACCCTGCATTCCTGTGGGTATTATACTGTCTTGTTGCTCTGTGTAAAAATTTTTTTAATCCCACTCGAAGGAAAGCCTCAAGAAAGGACTCCTTTCTCTCCCGTGCTTATCAAGCGATGCGCCAAAGCGTGTCAGTTAAGATGGTGGGTAGTTGGGGGCTTATAAAGGCCCTGTGAATACTTTTCAATCATACAAAACCCGAAGAGGAGTGACGGGGGAAAAAATCCCATTGACAATGCAACGCATGAATGTTATTTCTTTCCAATTTTTTTTTTTTAATTCACAAACAAATTGAATAGACCAGAGATGGAGAAGAATACAAGACGATTGCTATATAGATCCTCTCACCTATATATGGTATGTATATATTTGTTCAGTACCAATTGGCGTTGGCTATCCCAGGGACCCATCCCCCAGACCGTAGCGCTCCATTAGCCTTTGTGTGCGACTCGCGTATATCACATTTCCGTTTGTTAGAAATTTTTTGTGTTGCGTACATCTGCATGAATGGCGCAAAAGTTTTCTGCTCAACTTGATAGCTCTGCGAAAATGTTTATTGTACATTTATGAATGCTGGCCGGGGGAGGGTGAGGAAGGGTTTTCCGCTCTACTGTTGATTTGGGAGGCAGCTCACGCCTTCACCCTTCCGACCAATATTTTCCACACGTCTTCCCAGGAAAAAGGTGGCCAAGAGCATTGATTTTAGAACTAGCAAGTGTCTGATATTTTTTTGTGAAGTCTTTGCTCATGTCTTTAGTAATTTATTAAAGTATACCCACACCTATTAGTCTGCGAGAAACCCCTTCGGAAATACCGGAAAAAACAGACCTTCAGCTAATTCCTCTCACCATTCATGCGAATATTTGGCAGTTTCCCTTCACCACTCGAGAGCTCAACTAACTGCGAAATTGTTTGGCAGCCACAAAAAGAACTCGGCTCGGAGAAAAGGATCCAAAGGACCATCAGAGGACACGGCAGAGAGATAAGGCTGCCAACTTGTTTGCTTAATAAATAAACTTTATATTCATAACTGAAAAAGTTTTCGCCAAGATGGAAGGCAAAGCTGTGCCATTTCCATTTCCCTTGGCGAAACAAACGTGGCCGCTAATTTGCGTGCCACAAACTTTTCGCGCTGAATAGTATGCTACTGAATTTTTGGCGAGGGGAGCATGAGAAGTTTGGTAGGCGCGCCAAAACTACGCGACGGAATTTCCGTGGCAGAACATAAATTATACGAGCATTTCCTACTCCTTCGGCTCCACCTCCTCCAAGACACTATCTTTTTGCCAAGAGCTCTAGCTCGCTAATCGTAAAAGTTTTTGGGTTTTCTGGATTACAGCCACCTTCAAACGATAAACTTACGGCTTAAATACCCTTTGACCCCACACAGCCTCTGTCTGATTAACGCGAAATAATTACTTTTGCATTAAGCGCCTGCCTAATAGCTCGTGTAATTCCCCACCTTCACTTAACAATCCCCTAATCAGCTCATCAGACAAAAAATAAACAATATTTTCAACCTACAAAATGCAAAAGTGTAGAATGGAAAAAAATACAAAATAAAAGTGGAGGCTGGTTGGCTGGAAAATGTAATGAAATGTACGAGAAAACCACTCGAAGATAATGAAAGTGCATTGAGGCGGCAGAGTTCTGGGGAAACAGTATCAGGTCGAGTGCGAAAATTTTTCCATTATGCTACGTGCCACATTTTGTGCCCCTCGAAAAGAAACAACAGAAAAGGTTGAAAGTTACTGAGGAAACGAATAAAAAACTACCTTTTTTAGAGGATTTTTTTAAAATATTTCTATAGTTTGAAGGATATATATAATTATTTTAAGGATTTAAGAAATGATACCCTCTTTGATAGGGATTTAAGAAAACTTACTGCATTTTAAGATTATATGTTTTAATTAATTTTAAAGCTTATAACAGATTAGTTCTTTAAGGGGAGGGTAAGGTCAAATCATGCGAAAAAAGCCATGTTTTTGTGATTTTTTTCCTGACGACACAGTTAAAATTTATTTATTCAACCAACGGTATATTAAAGTATGACATTAGAAGAATGTTTAATAAAATTTTTACAAAAAAATATTTAAAAATATGGCAATGGTAGCAGTTGTCCGGACGTGTCGCCAAAAAAAGTTGAATTGCGGTGCCCCTCATAACTCGGTGCTGGATCATTTGTAATCAAAAAATGAAAATTCATTCGTTAGATAATAGTTCGCCCCAGGTAACGCTGTAAAGGTTTTTTGAAAATTGCAATTTTTTAATTTTTTCGGAGACTTTGAAGTGAAAAACTCAATTTTTTTTGGGAAAAAATCGGTTAATTTGTCATTGCAAAATCAAAACTATGAACAAAAAAAAAAAAAACTCGACAGCGTTACCTCGTAAAAAATGTCCAGAAATAGTGTTTAAAATTTCAAAAGGATCGGTGCAGTAGTTTTGAAGTTATGAGGGGCACCGACTTTGAAAACGTGAGTTGTGGGAATAACGCTTTAAAGTTTTAAACAAAACAAAATCCAGTGTAAAATGTTTGCAAGCAACTTCGTCAATAACTAATAACTTCGTCAATTTTGCTTTAATTGACTTGAAATTTTGACACAATATTCTTCAGATATTATGCATTCAATTTAAAAAATAAAAAAAAAAGGGGGAAAAAAAAAATTTAATACCTTACCCTCCCCTTAAGAAATATATTTTATGGAAATAATAAGATATAGCCTCTTCCAGGGTATTAATCCAGGAGTAGGAACTTGCCCTACTGCTGCATCCTGCCTGGCTGGAAAAAATGCAACGTTTAAAAGCCTGCGGTGAAATGTCTGCTGTTCTTTGGTTGGCCCATTGCCTTCACTCTCATCCTCCCTCACCTTTACCTGTGAATCCTGGCTAGATGAGAAAACGATTCTATAAAGGCCATAACCACATACATACATATATAGCTATATAGTGGGGTTAACAGCAACCGGATCCGTTGTGGACCCAAGCCAACCAGTGACAACGTGACTCGACAACGGAAAGTGTGATTATATTTTCATTTTCAATTTTTTACGGCCAATTAATTTGGCAATTGACGCTTCGCTGGGCGTCTGCGCTTTGCAGGATACACCTATACAGGACTATATATATATATATATATTCATCAGACATATATACCAGATATGCGGATGTGCATACCGGGTCGTTGTGGCAAATTGAGTTGTGTGGCAAGAATAAGAAAAGTCTATTATAGTGCCAGGATGGGTTGCCTGCCAGCTATTCGTTCCTGGCATTGTCTGGCCATCCATAGAACCATTGTTTGGGGGCGTGGCACTTGGCTGTAATCCCCCCACCACTCGCTGGTGCAGCTCCCCACTCTGATCCTGGGGCGTCGATGGACATGCAATTTGCATTGAAATTGTTTTTCGAAATTAGAAAAGCCAGTCAGGTGGACGAGAATGTGGTCTGGTTGGAGGGATCCAGAAAAGTGGCAATTTCCCAAAATGACAAACTAGAGGCTGGAAGGGGTTTTAAATGGCCTGGCTAAAAGGATCAATTGTTGTGAGGCAGGTTGGTTTTGGAGTTAAATAAAATAGGGGGAATGATAACTACATCCTTTTTTAGTAAATAATTCTTTTAAAAAAAGCTAAATATTAAAAACCCTTTTAATTTTAATGCTTTAAATGCACTGCTTCCAATGACTTTAATAATATGTATACTTTTAAGGATATAAGGATATACAACATTTCTCTACAAATTCATTTAAATTCGTTAAACTAAAACTAAGATTTGTTCGGGATCTTCGGATATTTCAGGAGGGAGCGGCTGGTATGTCGATTAAGGGGGTTTCGGGGCTTAGTTCTCCTGGACGATGACCACATCCTGGAGCTGGATATTGGGCAGCTGCAGCAGTGCCTGCTCGTTGACGATTCGACGGTCCAGAGGATAGCCTAGAGGGCGGATGTCCTGCAGGGAAGCCTGGCCAATGCCAATGCTGATTTCAGGCTCGATCATGCGTTCCTCCATCTCGATAACTGGGGAGACCACCACCAGGATCTGCATAGGAAGTCCTTCTGGGCGACCACGAGGCAGAAGCAGATGCTGTGGGAAGCGGCCATTCTCACCGACCAGTTCCTGAACACCCAGTTCCTGTTGGCCCCTCAGTTGGAGCATCACGCGGCGGTAGATCTCGGCCAGGGGAGTCACATCCCGGGTGGTCCAGAGAATGTCCATGGATCGCTGCTGGATGCGGTTGCGTCCCATCTGGAGGCGCACATTCTGGGAATCCAGGAGCACAAAGTCACGGCGACGGTCCTCGAGGCTGTCCTGCTGCTGGCCGGGTCCTAAGAAGACACGGATGATGGCATCCTGGTCGCGTTCCGAGCTGATGTCCATGTCGATGGTGAAGGGCTGGTTGTTCAGACGACGCTGGCGACCCACAATGACTTGATCGCCCTCGACCAGGTTGCTGATGTCCATGTCGTGCTCCTCGATGCGAGTCCTAAGCTTGTCCACGCGCACATCGTTGATGGTGACGCCGCGCATCTCCAGCTGCTCCTGGCGGTAGGCGCCGAGGATCTCCTCTCGCTGACGGTCCACGATCCTCACAATACGGCGGAGCACGTGCTGCACCAGAGGGTCACTGAGGCGCACACTCAGTCCGGAGCGGTCCACTTGTTGGTTGTTGTCCTGCACCAACTGGCGCACAATATCGAGGATTCCAACCTGGCCAAGGCGACCCAACAGAACGTCGGCCATCAGAGACTCAACCTGGCGCTGCTCCTCGACTTGTCCCCTCAGAGTATTCATGTTCATCTGGTCCAACACCTGGCCAATGGCCATCTGGAGGCGCTGCTCAATGCGGCCAATCCTCTCCAGCATTTCGCGGCCACGGACGGAGTCGATGCTGATCTGGTTCATTCGGAGGGCATAGCGCTCGGACTGCGACAGGCGGGGATTGTTGATCCACTGGGACTGCTGCTCCTGCATCTGACCCTGGGCGATGTTCTCCTGGTTGAGGCGGGCCACCAGCTGGCGGAGAGTGTGCAGGAGGATCTCATTGCGGCGGGTGTCCTGGCGGCGGCGGAGAGAGGTCTGGAGGCTGCGACGGCTACGAATTCCAGTCCTGCGCTCCCTGATATCATCGACATCCTCATCATCATCGTTGTTGTTATCATCATCATCCTCGTTCCTCTGACGCTGCTCGCGGTTCCTCTTGAGCATCTCCAGGATCTCGTCATCGCTCATCAAGGCGAGGCGGTTGTCGCTGCGGATGAGCTTAAGGATGTCCTCGTCCTGAATCAGGCGTCCGCCGAGAACACGACGACCCTCGCCGATGGAGTTGATTCTGCGGGGAATGATCCTTTGCTGCTGTTGCTCCGTGTCCTGGTTGAGGCGACGTCGGTTAATGTGGACCAGTCGCTCATCATCGCGGCTCACACTCTCCAGCTGGTCAACAAGGCGTTCCTGGCCCTGCTGGCCCAGTTGGCGACTGCGTCCCTGCCACTGCCTCTGCATCATCTCGTCCTCGTCTTCGTCCTGTCGGCGCTGGCCTTGCTGCTTCTGACGTCTCATCTGCCATCTGGTCTGACGCATCTGCTCCTCATCCTCCTGCTCCTGGCCAACACGACGTCCCTCGCTGAGGCGGTCTCCTCGCACAAGTCCCCTCCAACGTGGCTGAACCTGCTCCTGCTCCTGATCCTGTTCCTGCTCCTGAAGACGACGACGGTTGATGTGGAGAAGACGGCCGCTGTTCACACTGGAAGTGGGCAATCCACGGACTCCTCCCATGCGAATGCCTCCCTGGCCGATGTCACGCTCCAGCTGGACGCGTCCCATGCGGATGTCATCGTCGCGGTCCTCATCACGTCGCAGGATGCGCTCGAAACGATCACGCTGGTTGCCCATCATGGTCTCGTCCTGCTCCTGTTGCTGTTGCTCCTGGAGGCGACGACGGTTCACACGCAGCAGACGGCTGGTGTCCATGTTCTGAACTAGTTCCCTGTCCTGCTGTCCAATGCGGCTGATCCATTGATCCTGGTCGCGCAGTCGCTGCACTTGCTCCTCCCTCTGGTCCTGGGTCTGCTCCTGCATGGCCAGCTCCTGGATGAGATTCTGCACAAAGTTTCGCAGGGCAATGTCGTCGGTGAGAAGCGAGGTACCCTCGATCTGTCCCGCGGTCTCAGCACTGACCACCACTCGCTTCTGGCCGAGATTGGTCTGGCGGTTCCTCAGAGCCTGCTGCTGCTTGATAAGGGCCATCTGCATGTGCAAATCCCGCCAGGGCATGAGGATGCTCATGATGGGGTTCATGGCGCGCTGGCGCACATTGACAATGTCCATCAGAGAAGGACGCTGGCTCTGTCCACGCACTCCCTGGATCACCTGCTCATTCAAGTACAGCTCGGGTAACAGCTCCTGGACGGCGGGCATAATCAGGTTCTGGGTGTCTTCACGATCCCGGATGGCCAGGGCCAAGGCGTTGACCAGGAGCACGGGGTTGATGTTGCGGCGCAGGTAGACCACGTTCCGGCTGAGGGTGTCAAAGTCCTGGGCGCGGACAAGGAGACGGTAGATGCCGCGCAGCTGTTGCACATCCTCGGGCTGGGCCACCGAGTACACCTGGTGCTCATCCAGGAGGCGACGCTGCCTGTCCAGATCGATCACCTCCTGCATGTCCTCATCGATGCCGCCGCGGTACCTCTGGCTGTCCACTATCAGTCCTTGGTCCAGCTGGATGAGCTCGTTCTGCTGCAGGGGCTGGCGGATGTTCCGGACAATGTCCAGAATGAATTTCTGGCGTTGCAAGTCCTCCTGGGACATGCGATCTAGGGGGAGGCGAGAATAAGGGGTGATGTTCGGTTTATCTAAACTGATTTTACCCTGAATCCGTTGGGGATTCACGGAAATCCTTCCAGCAGCCACAAGGCCAACGGCGCAGGCCACCAGCAGTAGAATCCTGTTCATTTTGCTGGCTTCTCTAAAAAGATCCTTGATCCTGGGACTGATTGGATGTGCTTATGGAACTGATTGGATTGCTAAATCACAGACCAGCAGGCAACTGCATACTCCATCCAATGCGATGCTGGTTTTTATAGCAAAAGTCCCCATCGCACCTCGTAGGCCTATCTCGTTCGGGTTGAATGCCTTTTGGCACGGGGGCTAAAAAATATGTTTATCAGTTTCAGAATTCGCCCATTCATTATGCAATTAAGATGCAAATATTGTTGTTTGGCTGCTGTTTGCCGTCACAGATTGTTCCCGAAGCCACCAGCTTATGACTATTGGTGGATCGGACTAATTCCAACGAGGGCTTGTGACCCTCGATCTCATCTCAACTGAGTGCATTGATCCTTCCATCCTGGTTGCTGATTGATCTCCTGACTTTGTTTGCCATCAGTGTTTGCTGGTGGAATATATATTTGATTAACTTTGCATTGGTTTGAAGTGCATTCTTAAATACTTATTAATAATATTCCTAATTTCTAAACATTTTATTATAAACATAAAGACACTGATAAGAACAAGGAAGCCCAAAGAATCAGAGCATGGAAAAATTTCACTGATAAGACTTAGAAATTAAAAACATAAAATTATGATGGGAATGACCTGTCTCAGCAATTTGTCGGATGACTAATTAGCTAATCATATGTTTTGATTATTATTTCTCAACATACTCTAACTTAAAGTCTAACCTTCTCTAAAATCTCTAAATAGAAACCAAATGTCAAAGGTCTTCAAACCCTTCAAATGAAGGCCACGTAGCATTCGGCTGCCTCATTGTTCCCAGTGAGTGAGTGATTGGCGATTGTGAAAGGATAAAGGATGCGTCAGTGGCGCTGTTGTGCCAGGATGGATGCAGGATGAGCATTGCGATGCGGGTGAGTCGATGCAATTTTTCTATTCACATTTAAATTGGCAATTCGTTTGTCCGTGGCTTTTGTGTTCGCCAAACGATTTTTGCAGTGTCCTTTTTTTTCTGGCGGGGTTGCGACAATTTTGCAACGTGCCTGGCATGCAACGGAAGCTAAAAGCGCTACGTGGGTGGCCCGGAGTTGTGTTTTGGGTTACACTTAAAAAAAAGTAGTCTAAGCTACAAGAAATGTATGTAGTATAGAGTCTTGGCTAGCCCTTGAAAGTCTAGAAAGTCTTGTGGTCTGAGGTCTTGAGGTTCATATTTTAAAAAAAGGACTCTTCTAAAAGAACACTCATTTCTTCTCCAAAAGATTTATAGAACAGTTAAGGAAGGCACTCTATAATTTGGTTAGAAATTTTACTTTCATTTAATCTTTAATAAATATTGTTTTAATTAATTAAAATTATTTCAAGTGGCTCTCATGCTGTTGTCTCTGCTGCTTCTATTGCTTCTTTTTTCTAATGTAATTGCAATTGTTTGTCAGCTCCGGCCGGGATTCATTCGGCTTTTAGCTGTTGCCTGTTAGCATTTGGCTTTTTAGCTCTGGCTGCCATTCCGTCAAAATGGTCAGCAAAAAGCCACTTTGATTTGCCTCTGCTGCACTTTGGTCGCACTTTTTTGTTGGCTCTTTCACTTGACATTTTTATGCATGCCAAGCGCATTTGTGCGGCATTAATTGCTTCTTTATGCTGCTGCATGTTCAGCAATTATGCAGCTTCAATTTCGCATTAATTGCTCCTTTGTGCAGCCCAGAACTGAATCCCTTTTTTTACAGCCCTGAAAGTCGAAAGCATTTGCTCAAAAAAAAAAAAGGAATGCTGCAGTTACGCCGGAGTCGCCACCATGGCTCTCGTTTTAATTGCTCGCCGGCCTTGGACATTCATGGGAATGCCCTTTTTGTGCAGCAATTTTCATTATTCCTGCCTAGCCATTTTATTTTCAGGTTCCTCGATACTGCTGGATCCGTTATTGTTGCCAAAGATATATATTTTATAAATTATTTGCACAAATGCAGTTCCCTGTTCGTTGCTCCCAGCTGGCGCTGTTGCCAGGCGATCCATGTAATCTCTTTCAGGTTTTTGGGCTATCAGAATAAGGCCAGGCCACGGTGCCTAGACTCCTTATCGCAATTCACAGTTCAGCTATTGTGGTACAGTAACACCTGGATGTGGCGGGCTTAACTTCGGGTTTTGGAAAATAACAAAGCTCACTTTAAGAATTAGTTCTTGACCCATATTTAATTATTTTCCTATCGAATTAGAAAACGGAATAGAGTAAAACCCCATTTTCAAGGGATCCCTTCACAAAAAATGGACAAAAAATCTGAAAAATAATTTGTCTCAACATTTTGATGCAGAATGGTGGAAAATCGATCCAGAAATCGTTTAATCGTATCGGTACTCCGCTTGAGAATAGGATGAGAATTGGCAAAGATATACCCATCACCGTGGGCCATATAGGGGAAAACCCCATTTTCAAGGGATCCCATCACAAAAATAGACAAAAAACTGAAAAATATTTTGTCTCAGGATTTTGATGCAGAATGGTGGAGAATCGATCTAGAAATCGTTTAAGGTACTCCGCTTGAGAATCGGATGAGAATCCGAGAATTGATCTAGAAATCGTTTAAGGTACTCCGCTTGAGAATCGGATGAGAATTGGGGAAGATATAGCCATCACTGTGGGCCTGATGGGCCCGAGAAAACCAAGGCTAATACATTTTTTTTAATTTAAAAATAAAATCCAAGGAACCTGTTCATTTTCTGTTTACCAAATTAAATGAACTCGCCTTGGGAAGTCCCTGCCAAAGATACTAACCATGTGATACTGCCACGAATTCGGGCCTGGTTCTTCCCTTTCCAGAAGGAAGAACATACCGCGTGATAAGCTCAAGAGTTTCGACAAAGCATCCTTGTCTCGAGTGGCAAAGACGTGCGTCGTAGTCCTTGGTGAGGAGGGTAGCCCGGCAGAGTGCCGAAGGATCCAGGACCTAGACGAAGTGGTGGATGTTTGTGGGAATCGGTTTCAGTTTCGGCTTTTCGCTTTGTCGCCGCTCGGTGGCTTTGACTTAAATGCGATTTAATGCCTTTTTTGTTTGTCTTCCATGCGTCGGATATCCGTTCGACGAGCTGTGGGCGTGATAAACCGCCCCCCGAAAGCCACCTTCCGACCACCCCAGGCCCACCCACTTTTTTGGGCTGCTAATTTGCTTGGCGTTGTTTTTTTTTATGTCTCAGCGGTGGCTTGGCGTCTTAATCTTATATCCTTTTTGGGTTTTCCTTTTTTTTCGCCTGGCTTGGCATTAAAAATGGAGCCTTCTTTGTTGGGCTGATAAAAGTGCTTACAAATGCTTAAAAAATTAAAATTTATTACATGCGATTAGGTTGCCCTGTCGACCTCCAACGAGAATATTAAACGTATTCCTTAAGAGTCTCCCTAGAAAGATTGAAATGCAAATGGAATGCCATTGCTGTGGCGATTCAACATATTTCCGGGCATAACTTTTTCCCATGGACATTGGCCAATTGATTCATGGCCTCACAATATCCTTTGCGTAATGGTCTTTCTGGGCCAACTTCAACAGTCAGCAAAGACAGTCAGCTAAAATGAAATGGAATGTGAGTGGCAACACTGAGGTTGGGGAATGAAAGAAAAAGTACACCAAATAAATATAAATATAGTAATAATGAAGAAGCAAAAGCCAAAAGTCTGCTGCCAAAAGAAAATATTTCTTTTTATCACAACGGATGTGAGTGTGCCAAGACTGAAATAGCAAAGGATGTGGCAGTGGGAGAAGAGTCCTTTTTTTTGGGGCGGGGAGTTGTGGGTGTGAGCATCCCACAGCATCCTTCCAAAATAAAACAAAAAATTCCTTGCCTTGAGTAGTGTTTTCAGGGTTGGGAGAGTTCGGAAAAAAAAAACATTCTCCTCATTGCTACTTTTGTCATCGCGATAGTAGCTCGTCGTCGCTGTCGTCGTCCTGAAAGGACCCTCATCCCACTTACTTCCTGGCCACAAAGCAAATCAAACAAACTTTTATTTCACACGTTTTTCGTTCTGCCAAACGACTGGCATTCAATGTTTTTATTTGTCTTGAAACAAGTGACTGGACGGGTAGATCACGATCCTGGGGGGAGGCTGGAGTTCGAGGGCAGCACGTGGCCCAGCGAGTGTCTGTTAGTTTTGATAGCCATTTGACTTTATCCCCGCAGCCCCTGGGAGCAGTTGACTCGTTAAATTTGTTGGCTAATTGAAAGGATATTCCATTTAAGGACTTTAAGGGCTTTTTAAATAAATTTAAGCGAAAACTTTAAAATCTTGTTAAAAACTTCCAAAATACCCAACCAATTTATAAGTTCCCACAGGATTGCTCTCTTGGGGTGGCACTTCCCGCCCCTCCACGACCATTTCTTTGGGTAAATATTTTCGTAGCATTTCGTTGAGTTTCGCACAAGTGATTTGGCCATTCTGGCCCAGGAGCTGGTGGCTCTTTTGTCTGCGGGTAGGTAAGGTCAAAATGCAAACATTAAATGCTGATTTCAGTTCGGAGTTTCTTTCACTATAAAAACGACCTTGCGGGCAAACAACACCCCCGGCGGAGTAAGTGGGACAGGATGGTGTGGTGTGGTGTGGGTGACTGGGTACCCTGGCTGGGTGGTTGAGGCATCCTTGGTATTTGGCACTTCTTATCAGCACTTTCGTTGCGCTGCAGCGTGGCATTTGTGTGACTTTTATGTGCGGCTTTTCAGCTGGTTACGATGTTGTCGCGATTGCCAGCCACCCAACCACCCATCATAGTTGGTGGTTGCTGCTTTGTATCGTTGCTGAAACAAAAGTGTCAATTGTTTTTTGGCTGGGAATAGGGCGTTTTATTGACACGCCTCACTGGTGAGGCATTCACAGTCGGTCGCCTTAACAAGTGGGCGTGCAGGAATCCCATTAGCAGCACCACCCTGCCATCCTGGCCATCTATCTTCCCAGAGATATAAATTTGTATATATGTATGTATATCCAACCCCCCGCAGCGTGTCGGCAATTTAAACTAATAATCATCGCATCAGCAAACATTGTCATCATTATTCAGACGCCTTTGGGCCTTGGCTGTGACTCCTGGCAGATTGCTTTCCATGATTTTCATTTATTATGGAATGATTCAGGTATTGGACTTACCATACTACATCGTACTATATCTGGGAGCTCTACTAAAAAATCATTTATTCTCTTATGGTTTTTTAATTCATATTTTTCTTGCATTTTCATTTATCACATTAAAATATAGTTTTACAATCATATATTACACAAAATTGGACATTTTCTTGATGCCTTAACAAATCTAATGCACTTTAAAGCAGGATATAGAAGGATACTTTCTTTTTTGATAAACCGTTTTGATAGAAAATAAACATTTGTAAAATATTTCAGGAAAACAGAATTTCTAATCAATTTTAAAGAAATAAAAGGAAGCGAGATGGAAGCGGCCATTAGGAAGTGATTTCAGACGAGTGCGATTGGAAAGCAATTAGAAAATTCTTTCGAATTTTCAAAAAACTGTCGAATATGGACTGGTGTGGATATTCTGACAACCATTTTTCTGTAAATATTTCGTGGAACATCTTGGCGATTTTTTGGTTTGTACAACATATGAACTATATTTTGAGAAAAATTCTTAGAGAAATATCCAATTATTTTTGATCTAGTAGTCGTGGAAAGAGTTTATTTCGTAAGGCAATGTTGCTGTTTCAAAATTTTCTCAGTAGTTATTTATCCACGTAAGGGTTCAGTTCAATCGCATTATTATTATAGTCTCAAATCATTTCGAAATTGTCTCAGTATTTATTTATACACGTATCGGTTCGGTTCGAGTCTCTAAATCACAAGTGTAAGTCATAATTCGTCACTTGTTTTTTTTTTCGAAATTTTCCCTCGAATAAAGTTATAATTTGGCTCCAAACATACGCAGGGTGAAGTACAAACAAGCAGAAAGTGTGCCGTGATATTGGGTTAATTTTCCGAATGCAATATTGGATGGAAAGAATTCCGTCCCCCACTTCCCCACGGACTTGGGAACTTGCAAGCTAGATCGAAAGCAGTCTGCGCGATGGCATACACCCAGATGACTCCACACGCAATTACATACGGTCGGGTTGAAAGTTTTCCATGATCTGTTCCGCGAGCACGTTCTTTTCATAGCGTTCCGTTTCCAGCAGACCACATAGCCGAATACAGGAGCAGAAGTGGCGGCACGAACGGGTCCAAGCACTGGAAACTTAGACCCTTTACTTCAAGAGCTGTTTTGGGCGTGGGTGCTAGTTCCTGCCTTTCCCTGCGACTATGTGCTCTGCTGGAAACGGAACCATGTGAAAAGAATGTGCTCGAGGAGCAGATCATGAAAAACTTGAATCTTAACCATTCAATAACCATAGGTAAGGGATACAAGTTTAAATCCTCATGTCCTAATCTGCGAATCCATGGGCTTTTCCCTTCCGCAGAGAACTTCCAGGGAGAAAAACTTCCAGCTGGCCAAGATGAAGACAGGAGCACATTGTTCTTAATGAGATGATGCTCCTTAAGAGCGACGTGCTCCTACGGCTTTCCCCGCCTGAAGGCTGAGGGCTGCCATCCAGATCTTCCGAGGGTCGAGGGTCTGATCCGAACAATGGACAAGTATAGGATCTCATTTTCCACCGTAACCCGAACGAGCAAAAGCTGGAGGAGGAAATGCAGCAACATAACAAGATTAAGAGCGTCTATTGAATCTTTAAATAAAAAATAAAAACACAAATGGACAACTTTAAGCTACCAAGAAAAATGCACAAATATTCAACTAACACTAGGCTCTAACATTAGGATTTAAGTTTCGGCGGATTCCGGGGGCTTGCCCTTGGAAGTCCCAGTGGATTCTAAACGGCATGCTCGGCGGTACTGCCGGTGCCGGTTCCGGCGCCGTAGCGCAATGGAGTCGGTCAAATAATGTTTGGCGGGGTGGTGGTCACCGATCCTGGCGAGGACTTGGCCGACTTGACGCAACCGTAGGAGGAGATGCCGGTGCCGCTGCTGCTGGGCGGCGAGGGCGGTGTCTCCGGGCTTATAAGCGGCAGGTAACGCCACGGATGGTAGATGCTACCGGCATACATGGCCTGCAGGCGGGCCTGTAGGTCCAGGGCCAGCGTGGGATCCAGCGGGTAGTGGGCGAGGCCGGGGAAGGCGTTCGGCAGGCGGGGCAGGGAGAGCTCCAGCGGCGCACCGAAACCGTACTTGGCGCTCAAGGTGGCGGCGGCGGCCAACTGGACGTGGTGCGGATGCGGAGGATGCGGGTGGTGCGGGTGCTGCGTTGGCGTATGGTGGTGGTGCAGGTGATGGGGATGATGTGGATGGTGGGGATGACCGTGCAGGTGCGGCAGCGTCTGTCCCAGTGGCGATAGTTGCGGCTGCATGTCCTTCGGCGTGGACGATCCACCAGAAATGCCATTGCCTCCAGCCGGATTTCCACCTGCACCGACAGAGCCACCCATTCCGCTACCTGCACCACCGCCACCAGCACCACCGCCCGGCACTGGCGATTTGTTGAGAGTCTTGGGCTTGCGACGAGGTCGATACTTGTAGTCGGGATGTTCTTTCATGTGCAGGGCCCTGTAAATAGAATAAATGTTGGAATACTGATCAAAAGATCGAACCATTTAAACTTTGATGATATCATAAAAAGTCAACCCACCACCCCAAAGGTCGTAAAATCCCAGAAAGTCATACCCGATCCCGAACCCAGACCCATACCCAGACCCATACCCAGACCCTATATAGATACAAGTTTATGTCTCATAGGGGGCTTATCTGACAATTTAGCAAAGAACTCCCACTCCGACTTCGATCCCGATCCCGATTCCGATTCCACCATATCCATTTCCAATTCCGATTCCCAGCTGTAACAATGCGCAATTGTTGACATTTGTTTGACAAAAAAACGATAAAAACCTGATAAAAGGTGTGTGTGCGTTTTGTTTTCTTCTTGTTTTACTTTCGATTTTATTTTCTTTTATTTTCCCTTCAATTCTTCACCTTGTTTTCCTTTCTTTGGTCAGTTATTTGTGCGTTATCTGGAGACCCGAAAAATAAAAAAAAAAAATACAAAATATTGTTTTCCTTATCATCGCGCATTGGCAAATATTTAAACAAAAAAATTTGTATCTTTATATTTGGGTTCTTTTAATATGATATCGACGATACGGCTGGAAAACCTGGAATGGCCATTAGTTTAAGCCCCTTCGGATGACGAGCCCTGCTCATTTATAAATGTCATAAAATGTACATAAAATTTTGAACATTTCTATTTTGGCAGTCCAATCCAATCAATAAAAGGATTATGACAGTGCAAACACAGAGGTTCGTCATCATCAAGACCTTTAGAGTAACAAATGTTCAAGAATTTCCTTATTTTTGGGTACATTTGGGAATAATAAATTAGGTTAGGCATTTAGTTCTAAAGAATTTTTTGTACTTACCCAGCAATAATCCTCTAGGTAACTTGAGAATTTTATTAAATAAATACTTTACCACTCTAACTCTAATGCTAACCCCTTTCCCATACCAAAAAATTTCTCTTCTTAAGGCTGTTAATACCCAGTACTTTGGATAGTGTACACTTTAAGGGGGTGTTAACACTTTTAAAAAGGGGTAAAAAAAATGCAAAATGAATAAAGTATTTCATGCAATGTGTCGATGTCTCTTTTGTGTGACAACTTCAATGGAAATGTTTACCCAAGATATGCCCAGAGACCCAATGAAATTCTGACTAAGCAGAGCGGACACAATCCTCGGCCCCACAGTGCTCCACAATGCAGGAGGAGCTGCTCACAATAGTGAGCCTTTGTCTTAGCTAATCGATCAAATTTTGTGGCCAGACAGTCCGGGCAGGAGATTGACTGGCCCAACTGGGGAAAATCGGTAACCGAAACCAAGCCAGAGTTTACCACCTAAACTCTCACTCACTGGTTTTAAACAAAACTACACAGAGAAAATAAAAAATTAAAGAGTTACGGAAGATTTCTTGAGAGAAAAAACCTTAAGAAAGTTTATATAAAACAGTATGTGCTTTAGAGCTTGTATCTTTTTTTCTTGTATTTTGTTTTGCAGTGTAATATAACTAGCCTTCACCCCCAAAATACTGAATGGTACTTACCGCAATCGTTTTGCCTCGTCGATGAATGGACGCTTCTGTCCTTCGGTGAGCAATTTCCACTCGGCGCCCAGGCGCTTCGATATTTCGGAATTGTGCATTTTTGGATTGTCCTGGGCCATTTTGCGACGCTGTCCCCGCGACCAGACCATGAACGCGTTCATGGGTCTCTTAATGTGGTCGTGGCCGTGATGCGACCCGGGATTTGAATTGGAATGGGATTGGGAGCTTGAATTGGAATTGGTATTGGAACTGCTGCCGCCATGCTGATGATGATGGTGGTGCAGTTTGGGTGGCACTGGCGTCGGAGCCGCTGGCATGACGAGGTCGGTGGGCTGCGGTGGTGGCGGTGTCCTGTCCCCGGATCCTGGTACCAGGCCCATGCCCAAAATGCCGGGCAACTGCGGCGAGAGGCTGCTACTGTGACTGTGGTTGCTGCACCCGCTCCCGCTGCCGCTGCTCGTGTATCCACCAATGCCACCGTGGCTGTGACTCCGGTGGAGCAGGGCCGAGATGCTCGTCATGGCTCGGTTGGGGGGCTTGTGCCGATGGGGTGCAGGTGGTAATTGTCAGGTGGTGTCTCTGCAATGCCAACGGAAATGGTATTCAATAGATATGCCTTGTTGCCTCAAGGGGGAGCTCTGCCTTTTGCCTCCAAATGAGTCATATGAGCGACCCTCCAAAGAATAAATGCAAATAATACTCGAAATAAAGGAGTTCTTTTTTTAAACTATATTTACTTTTTTTTAAGGGGGCTTTCAGTCGCGATTTGGAATTTATGATAGAGCTATAAACTGCAAGCCGGTCTTTGAATATTTTTCGGGGATTTCCCTAAAATGGCAGTTTATGTCGTGTGCTAGTTTCCGGTTCCTGTTTTAGTTTTAAATTTACACTATTTTTAGATTTTAAATTTAATAAATAATGAAAAAAATGATTGTTTCTACAAAAACATAATTGTTTTAATCAAAAATCTATCTAGGAGTTTTTTTAAATTTATATTTTTACCCCAAAAGCGTTGAGACAATTTATTGAAGCTCATTACTTGATTAAAAAATCATGAAAAGCAAACTGGGTACTAAAATTCTATTAATTTTAAAAGATTACATTTACAATACAATAAAGGAAAGCATAATTTTTAAGATGTATTTTTTAAGTGACTAGTATTTATTTAATATGTAGAAGCTATCCTTTTAATCCTTGATATCCTGTTAACTTGAATCCCAAATACTGTCAGTACGATCATTAATGTTGGCTGGTTTATAGAAATAGTTTAATTTTCCTGATTCATTATTGATAAAAAAGGAGCTAAATAATCTTTAAAGTTTAGGTAAAATATACAGTTTTGTTTAGAATTTATATATTTATAATTTTTCTTTAATTTGAATGATAATATTTTTTAGCATATTATTATTTCTAAAAGTATAAAAGGGGCTACCAAATTCTCATATATTTGAACTAATATGAATATTTGTTATTTGGATTTGTATTCTATTTTCTTTTTTAAATAAAAAAAACCTTAGTTATTTTAGTTAAATTACCTTTTTCTTAGTTTCTTAATCAAAAGTATCTCTATTTATTTGTCTTTATTTTTGTATTCCATTAGATATTTATCACTAAATTAACAATAATATTGCACATGGATTTGTGATCGTTTGCTGAACTCGTTTGCAATTAATCACCAAAACACTCATAAGGTATTCAAATGCATTCAAATATATTCAACAATTGTGAACCAGACTTTCAAGACTCGATATTTAAAGCCGTGTTCCTGCAACGTTCTACCGTTAGAGAATCGTTTAGCGTTTTTAGTGCCGAGCGCGACGCGTCCGTTTCGAGTGCGCGACAATTTCGATTTGAAAACACATTCTATGGGCATTCGAAAACTTGCGACAGTTGGCAGAACACTGAGCTGAACAGTATCGGAACAAAAACGGCAACACAAAAAAATGGTAAGGGGGAGTTGGTATCTCTGTGTGCCAGTATCTGTGTGTTTGTTTGGAAGTGTTATTGTAGTGGTTGGTTGTTCGGTTGGTTGCCCGAAAAAAGGACCGAGTGCGAAAGAGAGATACCGCCAGGGCAGCGAAAGAGACGGGGCATCCATTTTGTAGAGTTGTAACACCTTCGTCTCGTGTGTCTCGTGGAGGACGACGACGCGTCAACGTGGCGGCTAAGTGATAAAAAATTCGCTGCTGCTGCTGCTGCTACTCCTGCTGCTTGCTGCTGCTTTGTATCTGTATTGTATCTTTGTATCTGTATCTTTGTATCTGCATTTTGTATCAATTGTTGACAATTGTCTTGTGTTGATTTTCGGTTGGTGTTTACCCAGTGATAATATCTGCATTTATATATTTTAGAATTAATTTAAACCAAAAAAAAAGTAATGCCTTCTTTTAAAAAAATCAGATTGTTTGCCAAGAGAGACTATCTATCGATCGGTTGTACCCTGACTGTATGTTCGTTTGGATCTGTTTGCCAACAAACATTTTTGTTGTCATTGGCCCAAGCAACTCAATTGCCCTCCTTGTTTGTCACACAAATCGCACATACAGGAAATTCCCTCCCCTCCATGGCTGTCCTAGTATAATTCTGTATAATTGCAACCATAAATATCAAAGATATTGGATCCCTTAAAAGAACAGTATTCGGATGGACGAAGGCATTGGCTAAAATTTCTTATAAATGGCTCTCTTTATTATCGAAAGTTGGCGATCGGCCGATAGAGCTATGGGTTCAATGTTCCGCTAAAAAGGGAGCTATAGCTGCCTCCCTTCGGTACTTAAAAGTACTCAGAATTCGGTTCGGCTTTACATGTGTTTACATTGTAAGGTAAATATAATAATATGTAATATCACTACTGGCCTCATAGCGCCAAGCAAGTTTGATTAAAATTGTATCAAAGACATAATCGAAATTAGCAGGAAAGTTGTTGCATTTTAATTTTAAAGAAAAAGTATATTATGCAACAGCAAAGGTGTGTTTCTAAAAGGATGACTAAGCCTAATGGATGACTTATGAAAGGTTTTTCTAAAAGTTATTATTAGATATTTCATTATCTAGAGTACCTATCAGATTATAAGGGAAATAAATTTAAAATTATCCTCCATAATAATCGTTTTCTTAAGTTAAAACTTTTCTAAGAACTGACATGATTTTGATGCTCCAAATGGTAAGTTTTAAAAAATATAACGAAATATATATGAATATTAGTATAACAATCAAGTAAATATATTAATAAACGTCGATATCTGCTTTATAATTTTTAATAAAAAAATTCTTAAAATTCTTTTATTTAATTCCCATAAAAAAAGCGAATTTTTTATTGTTTTCCTGAGACCCTTTTTTAAAAAAACAACTGTTGGCGCCATAAAAACAAAATTCAACCTCTGAAGTGCGGTCCGCGCAGGCGTCGCTCTCCAAAAAGTTCGTCAATTTTGGAGAGTTTTTGCCACCCAACCCCCCCCCTGCCACTTCCCCCTCAAACATTCAACAAAACAAATGCTAAATAGGAAACGCATTTGGCGGCAACAACGCCAGGACCCCAGGCTACCCCCCCCCCCCATCGTCGTCGCAATAAAAATGGCAGCATTCGTGGGGGGAGGACCCAGGGCGCCCCAGCCCCAAACCCCAACCCTCAAAACCCCCACCCCTTCCCCCATCGTGGAATGTGCGCGCATGTCGATGCCTTTGGACCAATGGCGTAGACAATGCCACCAGGAGGATGGAGGGAGGCACAGGATACCGGGTCGGGCGGCTGCTTAGAAGCGTTCTCAATGGTGACGCGTTTTTTATCGCTTTTTGTTTTGCATGCGAATTGAATGCATTTTATTGGCCAAAAGCCAGGCCCAGATGCTGTGAAAACAAAGGCTTTCAACTGGTGGCCCTTGGTTCCTTTGGTCCTTGGTCCTTGGAGAGGAGGATGTTGGCTATGCGACGCCTTATCAACGCCTGGCAGAGCGGGGATATTAGGTTCAGGACCCCGGCATTCCTTCGTTTTGTTCGCACTTAATGGACATTATGGCTGTCCCTATTATACGGACATCTCCCAGGACAATGAAGGGCAGCCAGGAATTACAGACACAGAGTGAGAGTCCTGACCGAGTTTACACCGTACCCTCCAGTCCCCTCCTATACCACTTCACTCTCCCTACGTCTCTGCCGTCATAATTTTGGGTATTTTCGGAATAAAACTCCATGGACCATGGCAGCATTGTTTGACTGCGTTTAGTTTCCATAATTTATGGCGGGGATGCCAAAATTTTTGCATACTCTGTCCTCCATTTCATGGCCCTCGGGGTTGTGTTGACCAGAAATGGGAAATGTGGGCGCGCTAATCGTGATTTGTGTTTTAAATGGAGCCAAAGGAAAAACAGTCGGATAAAGTGGCTGATAAGCCAATAGAAGGGTTAAGAGTGTTGGCACTCAGAGGGTCCTGGCAGGGTATAAGCAGGAAGGTATTAGGAATGTGAGGCTTTCAATTATATTCAAATTAATAGAATTAATAATAACAATAATTAATTTTTCTGGATTATTTTTAAAGGATTTTATGGTAAAGGTCACATAAGTTAATGGTTAAAAGCTAATAGGTTAGTTAATCCTTTGCGGCATTACTCTATAAAAACCTTTATAAAGAGTTAAAATATTATAAGAAAAAATAGCATTAATATATTTGAATAATATATATGTGTATAATATATATAACATAATATATTTTTAAATAATAAACTTAAATATTTATTTATATAGAAAGTTTTTATTTTAACTGATGTTAAAAATACGCAAATTATGTTGTGATGTATGCAAATTTGTTAAATTTTTATTGTAATTTTATTTATTTTGTTAAAAAATTTCAAATTTTAAAAAATCAATTTGACAAGGTTGATAACCTAGGTGGCGCTCTTAATAAAAAAAACCGCTAGATCTGGCAACATTCTTTGGTTGTTTTTCAATGAAACCGCTAGAGGCGCGTCTGAAATGCTACCACGAATCCGACTAGGTGGCGTCTCAATTTTACATGAATTTTTCGTACACCATTTTACACAACACCTAACGATTTTTTAAAAAATATTTAATATTTATGTGACTTTAATTTTTATATATAATGATTAAAACAAACACTCGATGTAGACGAGAAGAGTTTAGAAAGTTGTAAGATTCTAAGAATATTTAATGTAAGCCCCTTTGGTAGAAATATTTAATTTAAAACTAAAACTTAACTAAAAAAATCATTCTAAGTTAAAAATTTTTTTTATTAATTTAACTACTTGAAAGTCTAGTAGAAAACCCCGACAAGCCCCACTGTCCTGAATGCAACCCCAAAAACGCAAAAAAAAAGCATTGCAATCGCCGCTAATTGCCGGCGGGTAAGAGAGCGTAAAATTAATTAAATTTACTTGGATTTTTGCACCTCAACTTGCACTCGCCCATTAATTAGTGGCCAACGGTAATTTTGGGCTTGGGCTTAAACTTGAGCGTTAAGTTGGCGCGGCTCCTTGAGCAATCAGAGCTCGCTCTGTTGCGTTTTGTCAACCTGATTGGCCGGAAGTTGCCTTCATTAGGAAGCGTTTAGCGCTCTTGACTTTTGCCAACCGCCCATTACCGCCCCATAACACCCCCTTGATACTACATTAATTAATGTTTAATACTTAAGAGTTCGAACTTTTGAAAAATAATTACATTTAAGGTAATAATTGGAAATTATATGATAAATAAAAGCTTCTATCACAGGCCTACAAGCTTGTTTAAAGTTTTTTTTAAGTTTAAAAATAAAATTATAAAAAAATAAATAATTTAGAAATTATTTTACTGAAAAAGAACTCCCACTAAAAAACACATATTTCATTTATCCTTTTAGTTTTTAGTTGTAATTTTGTTTCTTTATTTTCGGTTGTATTTTTTGTTTTTGAATTTTAATATATATATATTGTTGGTTTTTGTGTTTTGTGAGTGTAGAATTTAAATACATTTATGTTTAAGTTTAAATTTATGCTATGCACTTCGTTCTGCTTTTAAAACATAAAAAAATTGCACCGCTCGTTGTTGTTTGTAATTAATTAATGTTTTTTAATTTAATATTTTTTTGCTAACTGATTTTTCATAATATTTTTCTTCTGTTTTCTGATGATATTTATGCATCACTCTCCGAATTTCTTCGTCTTTTTTTCGTACCGTCTTTTTTTTTTGTTTTAACAAAGCTTATGTTTAGTTTACAACTGGAGACTTAATTTTAAATGTTGGCTACTTTTTTTTTAACTTTAATCTCGCGTTTTCGGTTGTATTCGTTATGTCCTTTTCAAGGTCCTCTCCTACGATTCCTTAGCCTTGTGTGATCCTTTCGCTTGTGTTTGTGAGCTTTTTTGTGAATATTTTCCTAGGTCATGGACAAGTTCAACTCCTCGCTGCCATTGGAAGATGGTGGTCAGAAGATCACCGTCAGCGGTCGTCGAAAGTCCGCGGCGGTTGCTCCACCAGCCCCGCCACTGCCTCCACCCCCACCGCCACCGCCTCCCGAGCCCCCGATGGCGCCACCCACACCGCCGCCTACTGCCCCGCCTCCTGCCGCTGCCGTGGACAGTTGCCCGTACTGCTGGGCATACTGGGCGTAGTCCAGACCCACGTCGCTGGGGGAATGGAGGTGCGGCTTGGCATCCACCACCAGACTGCCGCCCGTCTCCAGCTGGGGCGTGGCATCCCGCTCGTCCAGACCACTGCTGCTGTTGTTGTTGTGAGAGCTGGCACTGCCGCCGCCGCCGCCCCCACTGCCTCCACCCCCGCCCCCAGCTAGTAGCAACTGTTGTTGCTGCTGCTGCTGATGTTGTTGCTGTTGGTGGTGGGCGGCGGCATGCTGCTGGGCGCCATAGATCTTGGATATGTCGAAGGCATAGTTGGCGGCCCGGTCCTGGTACATCTTGGAGTCGAAGTAGGCCTTGGTGAGGACACTGGGATCCAGATAGGCGCTGTAGGCACTCGCCTGGCTGCCCGCCGCCGCTGCTGCCGCATTGCTCAGATACGAGCTCCGTTCCAGGGCGAACTTGTCCATCTGTCCGGAGAGGGTGGCCTGTGGAAAATATTTAAATTTTACAATTAAAAGTATATCAGAAATTTAATACTATCTTAAAACTTCTAAGACTTCAACCGACGTCCAATTAAATTTATCAAACTCAATCAATTCAATATCAATCAATATATTAACCACTAATCCTTTTGAAAAATAAACCTCCAAGTACATCCTTAATACCCATGGAAACATTAAGTCCCCCCCGCCCCTGAGAAACAACACTCGTTTTATTTAAAAGCCACCTCGAGTGGTTTAACCTTCTGATTAGTGCAAATTGCTTAACACTTTTGTGGCTTTATTTGACCAACTAATTGTGGATGAGGCGTAGGATGGTTGTTCGCCTGAAACCACCCCTGGTTTATGGCTGCAACTCCCCCGCCCCAAATGGTCTCTATTTAATTTTGTTTGATTTGCAATACGTTTTTCATTGCTACACCAGTTGCCAGTTGTCGAGAATTTTTGTTGACGACGGAGTTCTAAAGGACATCAGAGGGTTGTTTTGCTTCATTTCCGTTTTGTTTTGAGTGGTTGGCGGCAGGACGAGGGTTGTGCGCTCCCCTTTTCTGCATTTTTATTCCCAACAAGCCAAGCACTTTGCTCTGGGCTATAATTATGTTGTTAACACATCATCATCATCATCGTCACCGTCGACGGGATGGTGGCAGGATGGCAGGATACCTTCCCCAACGGTGCTGCCGAGAGCGTTTTGGATTACAATTTGATTTGATTTGATTTGCACCCAATTGGGAATTAGTGTGGATTCGTAAATATTTTGATCCTTCGCATTAAACAGTGTATGTTTTGTGTGTCTTGTGTTTTTTTTGTTTTTTGGTTCCGGTTACTTATCCGTGTGGCAGTTAATTGATTTAGAAACCCTAAACTGGTTGAGTGGGTTACGCAATGTTTGAACTACTCTGCACAGGTGGAGGAAGGTAAATATTTGGTCTAGGATTTGGCGGCAGCTGGGTAAATATTTTTATAATTTTTCCCATTATTTTGTTCTGGTAATTGTCGTTCTAGGACTTCTATTTGGTTGGATTGTCTCTTCAAATAGATTTTATTAAATGAATTGGAAGTAATAGCCAGAAAATTGGTGGGTCTCTTTGAAGGACACTATATCCCACAGCGAAGGCTATATCTTTGCCAATATCCACCCGATTCTTGAGCGGAATATAGTAATCGATTTGTAGATCGATTCTGTATAAATCTACATCAAAATCTAAGAACAAAATATTTTTTAGATTTTTTGTCAAAATTTCTATATGACTCCCTTTAAAAATGTGGGAAATGCATGGGGAGGCCAATATGGCTCACAGCGAAGGCTATATCTTTGCCGATATCCATCCGATTCTTGAGCGGAATATAGTAATCGATTTGTAGATCGATTCTGCATAAATCTACATCAAAATCTAGAAACAAAATATTTTTTAGATTTTTTGTTAAAATTTCCTGTGAAAATGTGGGAAATGCATGGGAAGGCCAATATGGTTCACTGCGAAGGCTATATCTTTGCCAATATCCATCCGATTCTTGAGCGGAGTATTGTAATCGATTTATAGATCAATTATCAAAAAAACTGCATCAAAATTTAATAACAATATTTTATACAATTTTTGGCAAAATTTCTATAACTTCCTTTCAAAATGTGGAAAATACAAGGAAAGGCCAATATGGCTGACACTGAAGGCTATTTTGTATTCACCTTATTTTGTATTCAGCCCTTATTCATCCAATTTGAGCCATATTCCATGGCGATTTTTAAAGTTCTTGATTCTTAAAACCGTAAACCGTCAGGAATTTTAAGAGTTTCTCTCAATTATTAAAAAGAAAACATCTTTCTTTTGTGAAACTGTACTCATTTTTAGAACTTTTATATAAATAGGGCACAATATAAGTAACCTTTAACTTTAACTAACTATATACTTTCTATGCATGTCTTTTATCTTTCAACGCTAGAATTTCCTTAACAATAAGGCCAGGAATGCTGTCAGCAATTTGCCATGTCAGATTTTTTGAATACCGCCCACTATGCAATTTTCTTGTAAGACCTAACCTTCCTTCATTTCATCACTCAATCGAGATTCCGTTTGGGCTTAAACTTAGTCTATTATTATGGTTGTGGCGGCGAGGTGTGTTATTATAATTCCGGGCCTTCAACACCCGCAACAACGCATCTGCAACGCCACATCAATCACAGGTCCAAAATAGGCATCGGCCGTGGAATTACATGGCCAGAACCAACTGGACAATAAACGCAAGCCGAGAAGAGTCATGGCTTTTAATGGGCTTTGTTAATCAATTGAAGTTGAAGGAACAAAGAAGCCCAAAGCTGACTGGCCGCCTCTGGCTAGTTCTCGACCAGACCAGTCTAGGGGAGCAGCTTTCCCCGACTTCTCCCAGACTGTTCGCAGCTGTTTCGCATTTGAGGACATTTAGTCCGGACTCCGGATCAGCAGTCCCACCTGTCTCACCTGTCCGGCAGTGTTTGTTTTTGCTTGTCCTTGTTTATCAACTCGATCTGATAATTTCCCCTTCCCGGCCCATAAACGTGTAATGACAACTTGGCGGTCGAATCCTTTGGCATGACATGTCAGAATACTCAATTGGATCTGGCCAGGATCTGGATCTCCCGCCTGCTTAGTCATCGTGTTTTCCGCCTTTTAAAGTGGGCGTCTGCCGTAGGAGTTTGTAATTATGTTATTAAGGTAGTTCGTAGTAACCTCCATAATATATGTGTAATGTGTGTCTGTAATTGGTCTCTGAACGCTACCGTTCAGCATTTCTGATGGACGGCCTGGTACTTTACAAGGTGATAAAGAGTCAGGGATCAGAGATCAGGGGTCAGGGGTGGCGAAACTCACCTGCGTCGTGCTCGGCGTCGATGTCTGGCCAAGATGGCTGCCCAGGTGATAGGCGGCGGCAGTGGGTCCAGGGGCAAAGTAGCCGGGGGTAATACCTGATAGTACAAAAAAAATAGAGAGGGGAGTTATGTTAAAATACTGGGGTTCTCTGGGGTCAAGGTGCCTTTGAGATTGGTGTGAAATAAAAGGGTTTATAATAATTATTAAACAGGTACAGTGGTTTTAATGAAATTATAATACGATTTTTAAAGGCTTTAAGCTTTATGGTTCATCTCTAGGAAGCATCTCTTACTTAATCTCTATTTTTAATATTTGAAATATATTTTATCCCCTATATCCACTGTTCATCCTATGACCCTAAACTGCAACTTCGTTTCGTTTTACCTTTGGTGTGTATTTAAAATAATTGCCACTCGAAATATTTGCGTTCTTTGTTCGGCCAACTCTTTCATTTCGTTTAAATACAAAAATATGTTCCTCCCCCGGGGTCGCCATCGTCATTTAATTGGGTGCTGAATCAGCTATTTTATTCCGAAGTCAAAAAAGAAAAGGGTAAAGGAGAGAGTATCCACGTATCTGATAGATGGACCGGCAGTCATTATCAATTGCCCTAAACGGTAGTCGTCCATCTGCTCTTCTGGCCTTTTGTGGCTTGCGATGATAATTACAGGCGCCGCTTATTGAAATTTCTTACTTTTGAAAATGTATTTCATTGATGGCGCTATGGATTTGATTGAGAGTCCAACCGAATTGGGATCTTCGGTGGAGCAATTAAATTCGCTTAGACAACAAAGTTTTCTATCGACAACAATGTTGAGATTGTATATCCGAGAGATTGAATTTTGTGGCGACTTCAAGTAGCGACGGTTTCGGATGCCATCCATCATTGTTATTATTATAATAGCGGATTAGGTAGTTGAGTCATTGTTGTGGATCTCTTTGGTAATGACCGGTTGCAGTAAACAAACGGAAGCCCCATAATCTTTCGCTTATTTTGAGATTTTTTAACCAGAAAGACACCATCACAGGCCTTGGCATTTGTAATCCAATTAATTTGTAAATGTATTTGGCAGCTTTTCTGTGAAATTTTCCCTTAAAATCAAGGGATATACTTAAGCCTAACCAATTCCACAGTTGGCTGCACTTTTTGCCATCCAAGGAGCAGGCCTTTCATTGAATGCATTGATGGGGAAACCACGGCCAAACTAAATAGACTAATTCGGTTTATTTATTACGCATTTCCTAGCATTTTTATTATCATTTCCGCTGGGCATAAATCATCCTGCTGGGGTAGAAGGAATGAGGACACCAGAAGCTAAGTTTAACGTAGAAAACTTGCGTTAAATTGAGGGCTCCGGGATCAGGACCCGGGGTGAAAAGACAAAAAACGTGACAAATGCTAATTTAAAACCTCCAACCAGGGACACTATACTGTACAACCACCCACCTCCACTCCACACTACACCACTCCCCTTTTTATGGCCATTGAAAGTCATGAATGGAAACTTATGCTCATGTCTGATGGCTCTTCCCTGTCTGGATTTGCTTTGGGTCTTGGTTTTGGTTTTGGCGTTAGCCTCCTCTCCTGTCACTCGAATGAGTTGCTAAGCCAGGATGATGACTTCACAGTTTGTCAGCCAGCTGGGTGGTTCTACAGTTTCTACAGTGGTTGGGGATAGTTTGTCATAGGCTGTGTTAGTCGGTTATTCCGTGTCACATTTGCATTTGTCTAGAGTTGCACCTCCCACTTCTAGCTTTCAGAAACCTCCATTATTATTTCGTAGAACTCTTCAGTGGTTTCAAGAGCTCTAATGTGGAATATGGCTTCTGACATAAGTAATTTGTGGATTTCTTTGGCAATGAAAGTGCTTGGTTAAAGTTATTTTTTAAAGAGAGTTGAACTTAATCCTTAATTTTATTTACCTGCTCTTAGTGCCTCGACTGGAACCGAAGGATATGGCATTGGATAGGGATAACCATCTCGTCTCAGGGCCTTGGGCTTGCGTCTCGGCCGATACTTGTAGTCCGGATGCTCCTTCATGTGCATGGCCCTGTGAACGAGTTATCCTGTCACTTGCTTTTCATAAATTGAAGCCCAATAAAGGATACTCACCTCAATCTCTTGGCCTCGTCGATGAAGGGTCGCTTCTCCTCCTCGGTAAGTAACTTCCACTCGGCACCTGGAAATTGAAATAATTCTCGTTAATCCATTAGATACATGTCCCCTTGAAGCTCTTGTCAAAATCTGGTAACAACAATTGGAGTGTCCTCCGGTTAGAGGCTGTCGAATATAAGCATAATTCTGATTTGGGGCATGGGATCCCCAAAAGTTGGCCTGTCTGTGCAAGAAGGATAACAGCAAACAATGTCCCTGTCTCTTGCCTCCCCCGTCTTTCTCTCTTTCCGGCTAGCTGTCTCTTTCTGCCCCGCCATTGTTGCCGAACTCCCATTTCGATTCAGACGATTCAGGTTTCCAGCTAAAACCCAGCAGGTGGTTTTGGGCTGGTTACATTTCGGGTAGGAGACTTGAGGGCGTTGGCCAGGACCTGTGTACATGGCACTCGCACAGACAACAACACCACACCCACACCCACATCTACACACATACAGAGATACACGTGCCACACACATCCTTTAAGTGGCACATGGGGTTGCTTTCGGAGACTCCGGTTCGTTCATTGTGTGTTTGGAAATTGCAAATGTTTTTAAGTTAATGTAAAATGTTATAATGACATGTGTCATATGATGTCTGAAGGGGGCACCCGAGTTGCAGCAATGTGGGGGGAGCTTGCATCCTGTTGAGAGGATTCTGGGGATTAAGGTGAGATACCATTGTTATGGTGGAGCAATTAAAACGCTTTGGTAGGCGGCTTGAAAGGCTCTAAGGTTAGTTGCTTCTTAAATTCTTTCTCAAGCTCTTAAAGAGTTCCCTCCACAAAAAGGATACTGACATATTGTAAATAAATTAGTTAATAAATTCCTTTGAGGGGTGTTTTGTTAGAGTAAGTGTATGTGGGTGGCAAGTCGCTAATTAGTTGTAACGTGTAATTTTAGTGACTTGTCATGCGGACACAATGCCAGAATAATGTCACTTACAGAACGACAAAGCCACCAGGCTTTTGTTGTGACAGACAACGATGACAGGGCCAACTGACAGCACTTGGCCAAAAAGGAAACGAATCGAGTGTCATACCCAGAGAAACAGCTTCAGAACGACAGGGCCCACACATAGCCCACTCACACTCCCTAAAGGGCTATAACAAAACTATAACAATAAGGCCAACACAAAAGCTCGATTGTGAGCCGCCTGGCCGAGCTGATTCCCGCCCCCACTCATAATGGTAAAATACTAATTTATAGATACATCGACAGACCCCAAGTGCCCGACTGGCCATCAAATGAACAGCTCTCCTTCTGGGGACGACACCTTCAAGAGAATGGATTGAATCGCATTTTGTATGCTGTGGGACCTGGGGCTGGGGCTGATGTTGGAAAGAAATGTGGAAAGGTGCCCTGGACATAATAATAAACAATAAACAAGACAGCAGCAACACTGCAACAGAAACAGCAGCAACTAGGAAAGGGGGCAAACTTGTAGATACAAGTTGAGCAGTTGAATAAACTAGGTCCACAAAAGGATGACAATGACAATGTCTATGTTTGCCCAATGTCTATGCTATTGGCGCCCCTTGGCCAAACAGAGCGCACCAAAGTACCCAGAGAGTTTTCTCCACTCTGGCTTAATAATTGATATTGAAAACATGCCAGATCTAACCGAGACTTGTTTTTTTTTTCATCCTATTTTTCTGTAACAATTAACAAGTTTTTCCGGCCCCGAAACGCCTAACCCACAGAGTAAATATTTAGCCACCTCTAGTTGCAGTTTACAGAATTTTTTCCTCTTCAGTTACTAGATATTTTTCCCCCATTCTGGTTGCCTATGTATTTTTTTTTTTGCGCTTCACACATTTGGTCACAATGGAGCTACTTATGGGATTACTTTGCTTCTGTTCTGGCTGGGGGAAACACTCATAACTTGGCCAGGGATTATCTTGTTTGTCCAGCAATTTAATGCCCAAACCAGCTGAGAGTTTCCTCCATTTTCTTGGCCACTTCGAAAACTGGCTTATTAGCAAAGCTTTTGTTCGGAAAAATGGTGAAACGAAACCTTTAGTTCCCACCCATTCTCATGGGACGGGAACGAATCGGTCAAGGTTCTTTTCCCACACAAGACTTTATCTTTAAGTTTTATGAAAGACTTTATGAAATAAAATGTATTTATTTCAAAAAAATAATATAAGTAGATCATGTAAAATATTTTTATATTACTTTCCGACAGATTTTAACATTTTGGAAATAGTTTCACCCAAGTTAATGATTATATTGTTAACGTTGGTATTTGCCGGACCATCGGGTTTCTTTTCGATGTCTTTTTTTGAATCCTCGGGTGTCTTATCCTTAGAGTTTTTTGAATTCTCGGGTTTTTTTTCGGGAGCAGCTTCCTCTGGATCCTCTGGAATTGGTCTTTGTGTTTTTCGCCTTTTATACTTATGGGATCTAAAAAGATTGAAAGGATTTCCGAGAGTTTCAATTGGAGGGATGGCCAGTCCAGCGTTTAGGTTTAATTCGAGTCTAGGAGATAAAATATTCGGTTGTATACTCATTCTGACGTTCGAATTCGACTGGGCCAAGTTTGAAATATACTTAGCCTTATAAGCTAAGTATGGAGCGGAAAAAAATAATTGGTTCCGGATTAGAAAAGTTTTCATTACGTATTGGGGATAAGCTCTGTTTTGAGCGGAAAAATTCATTTGTTTTGGATTTAAATAGTTTTATTTACGTATTTTGGTAAATATTGAATAATAATTATTATTTCGCCCTTGATTTCAATTATCCCCAGCACTGGGCGCCGAAGCAAGGTCTTTGATAATTATTTCCACACCTATTACAAGGCATTTTTGGAATCCATTGAGTCCATGGAAGCCATGGGAAGATTCCACCAGGGCACCATTTACATGGTGGGTGAGGATATGGGTTCCATGTTCCACCTATGCCAGGTGGGCCTACAGGTGGATTATCTGTATTGCCTCCATTAATCCCTGGTGGACGCTGTGTTCCGCTGGGGCCCCCAGGATTTGAAGGATTTGTGACATTGACTTTGTTGTTGTTTTCATTAATATTTCCAGAAACACGTAGATAGGATCGATATGGATTGTAATCGTTTCCATTATCATCATCAAGAGTTCTAAGGTCGGGATTTCCATAATTATCGACGTCGGATTTTATCGGGTAGGGATAGTCTTGTAAAAATTGTACAATAGGTGGTATATTTGGAGCCAAATCACCTCTGGGAAAGTCTTGGTATAATTCCGAATTCATTTTAACCTTCGTGACTAACTGCAGCCCCTCCGGGAATGTTCGTATCTTTATAAACATGGGTTAGTGTAAAAATTCCATTAGGATTTAGTTTCGCGAAAACTATAACAAATGCATTTTGTGATAGATTTCAAATAGAAATCGTTCCAAAACATTCCATCTAATTATTCACCTTGAAACAATGATTAGAAATAAAACATTCTAATTTAATTTATGCAACGCCGGGACCTACAGGACTGCCATTATGAGTTACATTTGATAGATAGATAATACTTTTTTAAGTCTATTAGCTCTCCAGTTAATATATTTAAATATAAGACATTTATAAGACCATCCTTATGGTCTTATTTAAATATAAGACATTTATAAGACCATCCTTCATAATGTATCCCTGATACATAGGTTTACTTTTGGTCTTTAAAGTTTATTACTGACCCATCCTTGGCAAGGATATTCAAATGACATTTAAAAGACTATTTCTCTTTAATGAATTTAATTGGTAATTGTGGTACCGGACTTATTTATTTTACCCCGAACCGCCATCGCCCCCGGCTCCACCATTGCCACCTTTTCCGCCCGGACCTCCAGTACCTCCTGCGCCTCCATTTCCTCCAGCTGCTCCTTCTCCTCCGGGACCGCCGTTGCCACCGTTTCCACCGTCACTACGTTCAAATTTATACCCACGATATGGACCTCTTGCTCCTACTTTTTTAGGGAATCGGTCCCAAGCAGGGTCACTTCTGGCCCACTCAAATCCGGGACCAGGTCCACGGTCTCGACACCTCTTGTTTTCCCCAATAGGTGGAGGTCCATGGCAAGAGTAGTCATTTAATATATTGAGTGTTTTGTCCATACTCATTGCGTTGCTTGATTGTGATCCAGTGCCAACTGGAATCGCAGTATAAACTATATATACTCCTTTTAAAGACTTACTGGATTACAAATGGATTGGACACGGGAGTTATTTAAATTTCTTGTTAAATGGCTTAAACAACCGTGGACTTTCGTTTTTGGGTTATTATTTCCCACAACTAATTTGTAGTTTCCAAAATATCCCTTTTCTCACCTGGGACACAATTGAAATTTACTTGTATACTTCATAATTATACTTTAATAATTGAATAATATCGCTACATATTATTTATAAGGGTCGAGGTACTTTTTCTACTGGTCCACCATTTCCTCCTTCCGCTTATACTCCTTCGGGGCCACCGTCAGTACGTTCTAATGTGTACCCACGATATGGACCTCTGGGTTGACTCTTAACCGGTGGTTTTAGTGTTGGTACGATCCGGCCAAAAGGTGGAGGTCCAGGAGGACGTCTTTTGATCGGCCCAAAAGGTGGAGGTCCATGGGGACTGTAATAGTCATAGTCATATGCTGGATCGAATTTTTTTTCAATACTCATTGCGTCGCTTTATTGTGAATAATTTCCCACTGGCATTGCTATATATATTCATCTTGAAAGACTTGGAACTAATTAGTTTTTTCTGCAATAAACTATTTAAACACACATTTGACGCGGCCGTTATATAAAACTTCTTAATAAATTTCTTAAGTAACCGTGGATTTTTATTTACATTTTAATTTTTCCCAAAATTCTCCAGCCTTTTTTAGTTTCCAATATTTTGGGGGATAGCTCCACCTTCTCCATTTTTCCCACTTGAGGTATAATTATATTGTATATAACTGACAAAGTGATTTTTTAGATTGAACACTCCAGTTACTTTATTAATTGAATAATATATCCGTTTTAAAATTTTGGCGTATAAAGAGGTTCTTCTGTAGAATCATAAGGGTTATAAATTAGACTACGCGGCTTAAGAGGTGCTCCACCGACTCCACCATTGCCGTCTTTCCCGCCAGGACCTGCTTTCCCACCTGAACCGCCTTTTCCTCCTGCCGCTCCAACACCTCCGGCACCTCCATTGCCTCCATGTCCGCCGTGAGTACGGTCTAATTTATAGCCACGATACGGATCTCTTCTTCTTGTTTTTTTAGGGAATCGGTCCCAAGCAGGGTCACTTCTGGCCCACTCTAATCCGGGACCAGGTCCACGGTCTCGACAACTCTTGTCCCGCCCAATAGGTGGAGGTCCAGGGCAAGAGTATATATTGAGTGTTTTGTCCATACTCATTGCGTTGCTTTATTGAGATCCAGTGTCTGGAATCGCAGTATACACTATATATACTCTTATTGAAGACTTACTGGATTACAAATGGATTGGACACGGGAGTTATTTAAATTTCTTATTAAATGGCTTTAATAACCGTGGACTTTCGTTTTTTTATTATTATATTCCACAACTACTTTTTAGTTTCCAAAATATCCCTTTTCTCACCTGGGACACAATTAAAATGCACCTGTATACTTCTTAATTCGTTTTCTAGAATGGACACGGCAGATACTTTAATAATTGAATAATATCGCTACATATTATTTATAAGGGTCGAGGTACTTTTTCTACTGGTCCACCATTTCCACCTCCCGCTTATACTCCTTCCGGGCCACCGTCAGTACGTTCTACTGTATAGCCACGATATGGACCTCTTGATTTTGATTTTTTAGGGAGTCGGTCCCAAGCAGGGTCACTTCTGGCCCACTCAAATCCAGGAGCTGCCCAACGTTTTTTTGCCAATCGCTCCCAACATGGTATATTTTCGCTAAAAGGCACCAATCCTCGACCACTGTCATTACATGGACGAGACCGGCCCAAATGCTCAAATCCATCGAGATTATGCTTGTCGATATTCATTGCATTGCTTTATTAAGATCAAATATTAACTGGCTCTACCATATATATACTATATATTATATAATTTTTTTTCTGAGATGAAACATGAGAAATGGATTTTTCACGGCAATTACAACATTTTTTTTGTATTAAAAAAAAAAAAAAGTTTAATAACTTGACTATCTGTGGATCTTTTTTTTTTTAATTTATTGTATCTCGGCTCCGCCGCCTGCTCTTTTCCTGCCATGATCCCCTTTCCTGTTATAAAATTACTATAATAAATTTTTTTATATTCTTAAGCCAACATTTCCAATACAACCTATTAATAGATGTGGGTCTAATAGGTCCTACGGGCCAGGAATTCGAATATTGTATGATCAGTATACTTATAATGTACATATTATTCTTATAATATACATATGGACTTTATCAGGTTGTTACCCTCTGTTAGCTTCTTTACCCGCGTTTCTAATTAAAAACAGATATTCCGTATTAAAAAAAGAGTTTTGGGTTATATAAGAATAAAATAACAAAATAACTGCCATATGTAAACATACAATTTTAAACAATAAAGATAAAAAATATATCCCATTCCTGTAGCATATTTTGATATGTCTGCCCTTTTTTAGAAACCCCATTGAAAGCCCATTTTCCGGCAGCTTGTGCTCTTGATTGAGCGAACTGTAATTAAGAGTGTGTACCGCACAACCCCACCTGTCAGTTCCAAGTTTGGAGGGCGGCTGGGTAACCTTTACGCCTCCAACCCCCACCGAACTCCTTTCGAAAGCTTTTTCCAATTGCAAACTAATCAATTGTTTGCATTTTATTGAGCAACAAAAGGTGATCGGCGGAGCAGGGGAAAAGGCTTGAGTTCGACCTTTTGTGATTGTTTGTTGTTGCTGGCTGTTGTTTTTTTTTCTTATTCCTTCAACTCCTTTTTAGCCCATTGTTCATTCAACCATCTCTCCTTGGTATTGTCTGGCATTATTTAATATTCCCAGGAGGAGCAGAAACAGGAGCCTTGATTAAAAAAAAAAACAACAAGAGTGTATGGCCGATTCGACAGGTTTTTCAATTATTTGCAAAATACAGAACACGGCAGAAAAGATTTTCCAAAAAGCTGCCAGCATTATTGTTGTTGTTGTTGTTGTCGCCTTTTGTTAACGGTTGGTAATTCAAATTTCCAGACAGTAATTAATGACAGTTACAATTTCAATTAAGACCGCGCTCACAGCACTCAATTGTTTTCCATTTTTTTTTTCCTCCACAACATTCACTTTTATTTTTTGCTCTTATATAACATTTTATACATATATACATACATATATATTTTTTTAACTTCTTTGTTTGGCTTTTGTTTTTATTTTTTGTTTAATAAAATAAATGGCAACGCCAGCGGCGACGGCGTCTGTGGCTGAAGAGCCTCTCAACAGTTGCCAGTTGTTGGTCCGTCTAGCCCTCTCTCCTGCACGCACACACACAAACACACACACACACTCATGAACGCCCTCTGTCTCGCTCTCGCTGTGGTGAAAAAGTAGCTTTCGCGCCGCCATTTTTTGTGACGCCTTTGTTTATGCTACAGTTATTTTTCTTTCCCTTTCCGTTGCCACACCACCACCACCCACATCTTCATCATCTTTTGACTTTTTTGTGCTTTTTCTGTTTGGCAATTTCTCATAATGAGCGTTGCTTTTGTTGCTGCTGTTGTTGTTGCTATTGTTGTTGTTGAATTATTCATTTAATTGAATGTTGGCTTAACTTTTTTTCAAGTGCAAAAAAGTTTTGACATTTTGTGTAAATGTGGCAAATGTTTGCCAAACAAAACAAACAAAAACAAATGGTGGGCCCCTGTGCCATTTTTCATTTTGTTGCCATTGTTTATTTAAATAAATTGAGTTTTGTTTGGTTTGTGGTGTAATGAAAGTTTTTCAAATTGTCCTCAGGACTATAAATGGCATAGAAATACGTGATAAGTGCAGAACCATTAGTAGGAGAATAATTACAATTAACATTTTCAATATAGAGCCTTTAAAAATAAATTTTAAGCTTGGGGCCAATTGGTTTTTGTCCTTTTCTGTCCTATTTCCACCTTGTTGGCTGGGTCACAATAGACCTTTTTCAAGCTCCCCCCATCTCTAAACAAATCCCTCAACAAAGACTGCAACTGACAGCAAATATTACAGAAGGAGCAAGAGGAGCTGTCAATTCGCATAATGGATTTGCCAAAAAGCGGACTAAAAAGGAAAATGTGAAAGGCACACAATAGCTTTTCAGTTCAACAATAACAAGAAGAGGAAGAAAAAAAAAAATAAGAAGAAACGAAGGAAAATAATTCGAAATTCAAGTTTGCCTCTAAATTGTATTTAAGTTTTCTGTCTCCCATCGATATGTTTACTTGAAGAAAAATACACTAAACGGATATAAAATAAATAAAGGACCAGTCCTGTCCTGAAAGGGGTTGCTGGGTGGGAAGAACTCCCCCAGGATCTGGATGCAGCCAGCACTCCCGTTCGCTCAACTGAATGACAAGTGAGTCGCATTTAATTTGCTTTTGTTTCCTTAAAAACAAAAGCTAAATGCAGAATGAAAAGAAAAAGTCATTTAACGAGTGCTTTCCAGCGGGTGGAAGTTTTAATAAAAAAATTGCACAAAAAAGGATGACAAAATCCCCAAATCCTCAGGTCGATAATGGTTGTCTTTTAATTTTCTTTTTATTATCAGTGTTATGACAGTCGATTCTGATTAGTCTCAGATATATATATACGATTCTCATCCAATATGCATGAGCTGATCGGAAAAAGGTAGCCTTAAGAAGTGGCATTGTTATGCTAAAGAACTTGCCTGTCAGCCGCCACGTGTCGTGTGTCTGCGTGTTGCATGAAAATTGAATTTCTACGAGGAGCCCGAAAAAAATCCGATAAGAACTGCGTGGGATTAGCTTTGAGCCTTGAGCCCTCAGACCTGAGACCGAAAAATAAACTACTTAACTTTGCAACTAGTTAAGCGGGTGGCAGAGACAAAGCCGCTAAAGTGTTTGGTTGGCTGGGTGGTGGATTTCGGTGTCTGGTCTCAACTTGGCCAAGGTTGAACCCCTTCTAACCAGAAGGCTCGTAATCAACAGCTTCCTGCCTTCGGTCGCTCTTCCTTCTCATTGTTTGACAGCCGCTTGTCACTTTTGACGTTCGGAGTTTTTGGTTTGTCATTGTGTCGTGTTGTACAGTTGGGTGTTACGTTGATTAGTTTAACTTATATAAGCTATGGTTATAGAGGGCGACACAGTGCCACTGGAGGAGGAGTAGGAGTGAGTGGGCGCGAGAGATTGGCAGGTCGTGTGCCGCATTTTAATTTCGTTTTGGATTGCCACAAGCTTTTGTTCGCAGATTAAAACAGATTTGAAAAGGAAACACTGCCACCAGATATCCCAGATTTTCGTGGCTTATATTACACAAAAAACACAAGCTCAACTTAAACAATAGCTCTTCAATGAGGTTACTTTCGGTTAGGGTTTCTAGTTGCAACACTTATCTTCACTTTTTTCCAACAAGAGCTTCTTATTAAGTAGGTATATTTATAATAGAAAGTATCTATAACTCACCCAGTCGTTTGGATATCTCCGAGTTATGCATTTTTGGATTATCCTGAGCTATTTTGCGCCTTTGTAGGCGGGACCAGACCATAAAAGCATTCATTGGACGTTTAATGTGCTCCTCATTTTGTCTTTTCGTTGTGTTCTGGATCATTAGACTAAAGAAGACATCACTGGGGAAGGAAATATTTAAAAATATATTATAAAATATATACCCTTATGTTCCCTTTTTTTAAAGACAAACAATGGAATAACTTTTTATATTTTTTTAAGAGGCATAGCCCCATAGCTCCCATAGGCATAACCACCCACTCCTTTGCTCACCTGGCGCTGCTGCCACTGTTCATGAGACTGCCCATATTCTGGTGCAGGTTGCTGATGGGCGATGCCTGGGAGTTGTGGTGCAAGTGGGCAGCCGCTGCGGCCGCCATTACGCTACTGGTGGCTGCGCCGCTGTGGTGGCTGTTGGAGGCCCCGGCTCCAGCACCTGCCCCACCGCCCAGCTGTGAGCTCCCGTTGGTGTGGGGCTGGTGGGACAGCGACTGGGACTGGGTGAGCGAGTGACTGTGGTGCGAGGCCGCCGTTGAGGAGGACGAGGAGGAGGAGACGGCTGGCTGACCCTGCGGCGTCTGTTGCTGCTGCTGGCCGGCCGACGGGTGGTGCTGGTGCAGCTGGGAGTGGTGGTGGGCCAGGTGGAGAGCCGAGTGTGGATGCAGCCCCAAGCCACTGGAGCCGTTTGGGGAACCGTTGCTGCTGTTGCTGCTGCACGGGTGGTGCTGGTGCTGCTGCTGGTGGTGCGGCGACTGGTGCGGGTTGTGGTGCTGGTGGTTCAGTGACAACTGTCCGCCGTGCAAGTGATGCGCCTGACTGAGACCCTGGTCCGATTGTTGCTGATGCTGCTGCTGTTGCTGTTGGTGGTGTTGGTGGTGCTGCTGCACCGCCGCTGCCAATTGTCCAAGATGGTGCGATCCACCGCCGGAGCCCACGGAGCTCAGGTGAGACTGCAAGGGGTGTGCGAGCGATAGGCCGGTGAGCGACAGGTGCGTGGACAGACGTTCCATCATATCGCAGACGGAGCCGGGCTTCCGCTACCGTTTCCGATTCCGGATCCGCTTCCTCGTTGGCTCAAGCTACGGCCCTCGAGCCGACGGTCGGATTGGGTGGTGCTGGATCTAGTGGTTCTGGAACTGGTGGTGGAGTCGAGTTTTAGTCGCGTCGAGCTGTGGGGGAAAACGTATGAATATGAATTATTTTCATTACTAAGAAAGCCTCAATTAAACCCCTTTTAAAAATCAATGGAAAACTAATGACTGGAAAACATTACTAGTCTTAAATGGTAAAGGAATAGATTAAACCACTTTCCGGTTTGGGATTCCATGCAAATTTCCACTGCAGATGACATATTTGCGAAGGATAATGCGAACAAATAGTCATGATAATGAGTATATATGGCATATGTCCCCGACACACACTCCCCCACTCGACACCGTAAGGGGATCGAGCTGGCGAGGAAAATCTGCAACCGAAACCGAATCAAAATCCAAAACCGAATCTGAAAGGGACCATTAAACAAATTGAAAGCGTTTAGCCGGACGTAGCGGCTTCTTGACCCTTCTGCCCTCGCCGTGTTCCGTATTTAACACATTTGCGGCAAGGAGGAACTGAGCCGGGGGACCACATCAAGTGGACCACGTAAATCCCGCTTATAATGCACGCACATGTGGCACTGAAAGGACCCGGCCACATGCCACATGACCATCTCGAGGCACTGAGTGTCCAAAACAAGCGGGTTATGCTTGGGTGCAAATAAAATAAAATACACAAAAATTGTAAAATGGGTTTCAAGTGCCCCGTCGCATAATGGAAAGGATGGACGTCGCCGTCGTCGTCGTCGTCATCATCGTCATCTCATTTTGTTGTTTTGTGTTGTGCATCCCGCCCCGGTTTTAAGGGTTGACATTTGGCCCATACAATGGATCCAGAGTCCTGAGACCTGGGATCTGGAATCTGGGACCTGGGTCCTGAAGGAGTGAAAAGAAGTGAAAAGGCTTCGAATTCAATTTCAGTCGAGTTGAGGTGGCAACCGCCAGCGCTGTTTGCAAGTGGTTTTCGGGCCAGAAGGCCACGACTCCACTTGCCATTGTTTTGTATTGTGGTTTTTTTTTTGTCCCCGAATAATGGGTCTCAGACGACATACTTTTAAAAGCTCGAATCAATTAGTTAATTGATTAACAATGCTCCATTGGGCGCAGGATAATGGGGTGAACGTCTGCAAGTTGTTTCCCGGCAGAACACGAATAATTATTATTATTATAATTACTCTTGAGTGAGTGAAGAACTAATTAAACGATTTCCAAAGTGGCCAAGGCAATTAAAAAGAATGGCTTCCTATAATTGAAATCTTGAAGTCTTGAATTATTTAAACAATAAGTTTATTTCTACCTACGAGTATTGGGAATATAAGAATTTCTTGTAGAATTATATTCGTTGTGGCAATTATATTCAAAACATTAAAACTCTCTTTTAAAATATGTATATTATTTACCATTAATTTAAAAAATTATTTAATTTTTTTTCAAGTACTCCTTAAGAAGATACAATGGAAATGGTTTCACCTTTTTGAAAAATACATTTTAAAAAGTATCTTTTATTTTGAAGAATATTATAAAGAATGGCTATAGCTAAGTCTTGAAATAAGAAGCATGATGAAATATTTAATAAACTTTTTAAAGACACTCCCCTTATAACAAATATATAACAATTTTTAAATATTTACCATTAATTTATGAGCTTATTTAATTTTTCTTTAAAAACTCCTGAAGAAGATACAATGGGAATTTTTCACCTTTTTAAAAAATACATTTTTAAGAAGTACCTTTTATTTCGAAGTATTTCATATTTATTCAAGCTATTTTTAAGATCTGAAAAAGCACGTGCCGTTTTGGGTTTTTATTTAATTAATTTTTATTTGTTCAAGGAGATTAAAAATATAATATTTATGAAATTTTGTTTAATATGTTCTTGCACTCATTGGGGTTAAATTTGCATTTAACTTTGGCTACTACACTACTGGCTACTACATTTATTATAAAATAACCAACCCCGGACCTGGAGCCATTTATCTTTATCTTTAACTTGTATAATTTTCATATTTTTTTTGTTTTTTTTTTTTCTGCCACCACTCTCTCCACTTTCCCTCCACTCGTAGCGTGTTGGCCCTGTTCATTGGCATTCTTCTGGGCCCTGGTAACATCGAGGTCCATAACTTGTGTTGGGCTATGCGAGGCGACATCTGCACTGCTTCCGGGCATTACCCACTTGGTGTTAAAGTAAAAATGGCCCAGGCATGCGTATTAAGCATGAAATTTATTTAAAAAAAAAAGGAAGAAGATATGAAAAGGGGAGCAGCCTTGGGGACACGCATATTTGTAATCCTTATGGAGTGCAAACAAATTTCTGTGTTGTCAAGTCGCCTTCCATGGTCTTTGCTCCTCTTTTTCATTTCGTTTCGGGCTTTTTGTGGTGCTGTGGTAGTGGTGGTGGTGTTGCAGTTGCAACTGCAAGTGGCACCACAGGGCCACCAGTCGAGGCGACGGTTGCACCACCAGCTGTGCACAAATTGCACTCCAGATATTTTTATTTGCTGTGAATATGCCAGCTCCTCCTTTTTAATTTCTCCAACATATATTTTCAGTTATTTTGTTCCCCCGACATGGTATATATATTGGTAACGGAAATGTAACCGTTAAGACCGAAAGCGTGGGTCTTCTCAGGGTGTTAATCTAGTAGCCTTAATAGATAACCCACCAGATACTTTATGCCTGGTCTTTCTCATGTAAATCTCGTTTTATTCGCTTTGTCGTATCTCAGTAGGAGGAAAATTAACCCGCTGGCCACTTGAGTTGAGTTTCGGGGGCTATACCCCCTATATACTTGGCCCTCTTGTTGTTGGTGCTTCTCGTTCATTTGTTCATCCGTTTGTTGGTATGTCAAACAAGAATTATGATCGGCTTAGCCACATGCTGAGCTCAAGATCTCTCTCCACCAAAGACGGGTAGACTCTTCCCATGCGGAGCCTTCCAGTCTGCAGTCTCCAGGCTTCAGTCTTCGGTATTCGGTCTTCAATACAGGTAGAGCTTTAAGTGTCTCCACTTTGTGTTGAAATGTATCGCATCTTTCGATGGCATTCCCATCCACCAGTGGCTGGGGCCTCCATTCAAAAGTGTCGTCTCGGCCGCCCGCTGGGATCGGATCTTCTCAGGGCCCTAAGCCGCTGGGCCCCCTAATGTTTGTAATTAAGAACTTTCACACTCGCAACAATCGCCTCGTAAACGTATGTATCTCCCTCTCCCCAGCTCTGGCTTTGGCTTGGTTTAGTGTCAAGTTCGTGCCAAGGGCAATCCAGAAGAAAAAAAAAAGATACAAAGTCAGGCCGAGATACAAATACCCGTAGGGCCGAACATTAATTACAATTCTTGTTCAAAACACTAAAATACCTTTGCAAATTCGTTAACCAGCTACGATTTGGCAGAGAATATATATATATTCTGTTTTAATAATTTTTTGGAAAAAGGAATAAGACCTTCATGAGCTTTCGGAGTTATTAGATTTCTTGGCCATGAAGTCTTCTATTATTTCTACATTATTTTTTCCAAATTGAATAAATAAATAAGATGCCCAAAACAATAGCGTAAAAATATTCGATTGACATCTGGTTCTGTTTCAATTTGGCCGCAAAATAATTTCACAAAACCTTGTTTGAACAATTGTGTTTGGCATTCATCAGATACACGGCCTCATCTCCCCCCTCGGCCACTGTTTTTGTTTGCTGGTCCAAAGTCGATATCCATATGAAGGGGGCACGTCACATCCATTTCAATTGTCACAAAAATTTTGCGCAAATATTAATAAACATACTTTGTTTTCTCTTATTCTTTTATTTTTTATATTTACTCTAATTGCGTCATTTTCAATAATCGGGGGTTTAATATATTTTTCTTCTATATAAGTTTTTTTCTTTTTGAAATTCCTTGAGTCAATTTTTCAGTTGTATAGTTGGAAATTAAGTTAACCAAACAACTTTGAATGCTGCTACAATTCCCTCTCTCGGTGAAAGAAAAAGAGTTGGCTTTAATTCAAGTGGAAGATCGAAAGCAAAAGTAAACACATAGTCGAGTGGGGGCATAAAGATTCCGACAATGATTTGACAGAAAAATGAAAAGAGGAAAATCCTGAAATTATCCAAACAATAAAATCTGTTGATTCTACTTGTATGTCGGTTTGTGGAGCCCTCTCTCCAACTTCCCATCTATGTTTACCAAATTGATGGTCAAGAAAAGTGTTTCAAAAACGTTGAATTAAGTTTGAGATGAAAGGAAATCCTAATTTGTATTTTTAGGTTTTATTTAAAATTAATTATAAGGTGAAATTTGAGAAAATAACCAGGATATAAACTCACCTCGAAAAGTTCTGCATTTCCTTTGTATTTCCCGTATCCCCGGTAATTGGAATCAAAAATTCGATGGCGGCATATATAGTAGATGCGGAATATACTACCGAATTTATGGTTTGTTGTTTGTCGTTTATGAATCCCCCACTTTCCGGCGAGCTGCCATAAACTATTGAATTTGTTGACTTTTACGATCTTAAGACGATCTTTCGTAACCGATATATACTGTTTGTCGAACACTTTACATATTGGATATCACTAGTTTATGTTGATTTGTGATTTGGTGTGTGGTGTTGCTTTCCATTCATTGATAAGATACTTATATAGCATCCCCCCCTCCCAATTCTATTCAAGAATCGAAAGAATGGAGCTTGTTTGATTTGAAGTTTAACGATACAAGTAAGTAGCTTAGGATTTCACAACTTTATGGGAGTTGTTGGGATGGGAGTATATTTTATTTTGATTTCTCTTCGTGTTTGTTTAGATGAGCACTTAAAACTTGATATCATATGAGCACGTTATTAAGGTTATTAATTTTTTGTAGGGAAATTGTTATGCAATGCACTAGACTTGTTTTTAACAAAACGTATTATTTTTCAAGTTTTTATACACTTAATTAATTAAATATGACCCGGTTAGAGTTTGTTTTTATTTATTTTTTGTCCGGCTGATCTGGTATTTTGGCCTGATCTGGCGAGGGGGCTAAGACCGTCGCTGGTTGATGGCTGAAGAACGGCTCTTCTGGGTAGCTGGCTTGCTGCATCTAA